CATGATATCGCGCCGACATAAGACCGCATGACATTCTTATAACAACGTCGGTACGGGCCCGGCCGGGTGCCATGGTCACTTCTTTTTATACACGCTAAGGCACCTGGGCCCATGGCGCAGAAACAAGCAATTTCGGAGTTCGGGCTTCATCAAAAAATGTTTCTACAGCTAGTTACCAAGGAGTTACTAACAACAAAGCAACATGACTAACATGACGTACATGCCATCATGGCCCGCATTCGTTATAGATGCATGCATCCCTGGCTTTCTAGACGAGACCATGTTATACAGATATCGCGCGTATACCGTCCGGCCATTGCGTGCGGCACATGCCATGTCATGGAGCTGCCCGCAAGCATTATAAAGTTTATAGCCGAGTATAACATGGCGTGCACACACATATGCTAGCAGTTTGCAATCAAAAGCGCCCTATATAGCTAGCCCGACGTACCAGCCGCGCATGGCTGCGCGGTTGCGCTTAATTGAGTCTATGTATATGACCGCAAATGTACCAAGGACTCAGCGCTCATGCAGGAGCAATCAGGGCCCGGCCGCTCAACATCAGGGCCCGGCCGCTCAACATTCAGGCGCCGCCGCCCACACGGCCATGCTTAATATCCACAATCTCCGATCCATTGATGTGGCCGGGGGCCAAATTTGATAGCTGAAGCGGCCTGCGCGGGCCTCCACGTTTGGGCAGCGGAACTTAGAAACATCATAATCGTGCCGGATGCTTACCTCATGTGAGGATGCGTCCTAACGTGACCAACACGTACTTAGGTTGCTTAGGCTAATCGCGAACTCGTCTTTTACATACTTGTCTTCAGCAATATTATCTTCCATGTGAACGGCCAAAGTCGACGGCCACGGTCTGTCTAAAATGAGCATATGCACGCTACAGCAAGCTGCGTGCTGCAGGCGCTTGACAGGGTTGGGTAACAATCATGTAGGAGGGGCCGGCTGGAATGAATATCTCGGATCCGTCAAGTGTCAAAAGGCTGCTATAGATAGCTGAGCAAGCGCATCGTCCAGCAATGTGTTGGTTATCAATCTATCAAAGTTCGTCCTTTGTGGACGCTAACGAGTCTGCTAAGCTTCTGAAGTTCACCAAGTATATACCAACCAGGGTTACCGCAGCCCCCCCCAGCTGAATTTGCGTAAGTGTCTCGTCCAAATATAGGTACCTGCACAAACCGTTCGTAGGAGTTAGGGACATGTCCATCGCATTCCATCGCCCTAGCCTATGGATTGACTGGAATTTCCAACAGGCGACGTTACCATAACAAGCTGACATCTGCTGCAAGTATGCAGAAAACTAGGCATGGAGCTTCCGGGACACTTGCAAGGACTTTCAATCTCCGTGCATATGGAGGATTGCGTATGTTGAGGAGTCAAGCAGGGCAGGATTCGGTGGCTCACCCGAAGAATGCAGCAAACATCGGCGTCAGGAAGGTTAAGGAGCTGAGCTTCGTCAGATTGCCTGCAAAACGCCAGATATCCCCAACCGTGAGCAGCCCGGAGTCACGATGCATGGAATGAGGACTGAGAGGGGAGCCCTTTGGAACAACAGAGTCTCATATCTTTAGACCAAGGCTGTGGAACACTCCGTAACACCGCGGAGAGGTTCCCAAAGATCTCTCACGAAGCCTTGAGTCGAAGCTTTGCCAGCTGCAGCAGGTCTCCGACTTCGTCGCTGCAAACCTACTACTTCAAATGTTGCATGCTTCAAAGGTCTGAGTTCCTCCACTACCTTGACAAACGTTTTAGACCGCCTGAAGGTCAGCTGCCAGACTCGAGGCAACCCCACCACCAAACGTACATGGACACCCCAGCTGGGCTTCTTCGACACAAGCTCCGGGCTCTCCAAAACCGCTCAACTTAAGCGTACCTCTGCTTGCGTTGTAGAAGAAGACCCCGTAGCTGACAGCGCAGCCGAAGACCGACGTGTACAGCAGCGCGAGGAAGTCATGCGAGTCCAGATCCGAAAAGTGGCCCGACACCGCAGGCTCGTGTGCGGAAACTGACAGCAGCAGCAACGGGATGCCTCCGAGGAGCATGTGCTGAAGACAAGAGACAAATGGCAGGTCTGTTTCAATGTTGGGCTTGATTCAAAGCGTATAGGAAGACACATAACCGAGAAAATCGAAGGATGAAGAAGTGACTGAGTTACGCAAGGTTCGACTTGCGAAGAAGTCGCCTCGGCTCAGGCGTTTCGAAGCGATTGTGAACGAAAAAGGGAGACAAACAAAACATGGAGGCGTACAAGATGGCCATCTCGGATCACGACTTCGTAACTTCGTACCATAGATCAGGTGACTAATCTCAAAGTAGAAGTACTCCAGCGGGGAACAAGGCAGTCAGAAAAGTATCCCGACATGCTTCAGGCATCGGAAACTTTACACCTCTCACACAGTGCCCCAAACGGCACAACCTAGCCTCGTGCAAGAAGGGCTTCTAATCCGCCACACAAAACGGGTTCGTTTCACTACTCACCCAGCCTGTGGCGACTACTGGGTCCACGTACTTAGAGACCCATCGCACCATGACCGTCCCAACGGCCATGCTCTGCGCGGCCAGGAGCATCCACCACTCCCCGCTCTCCCACAAACCCCCGGGGTTTAACGAAGAAAGGCTTTGAGATACCTCCGAGGGCGCGGACAGCCACTCGAAGCGGAGCAACGAGAAGAGGGTGTCCTCGGGTACCTGCGGCAAAGGACAAGAGGCTGGTGAGAGGCCGTCCTGAGTTTCGTGAGAATGTTTTATGAAGACTAAATGGAACAAGAAAACTCCATCCGATGTGCTGTGCTGCTTGTTTCCTGAATCTCGTGCAAAAGCACTTCAAATTTCGACAATCAGGCCAGACAATTGGGAACACCGGATTCGAGAGGCTTGGGCCAAATAAAACCAAGGAATGTTCTGTTCCCGGCTGATTTTCCAAAAACTTGACAGCTTCAAACCCAGGGAGTTTTCCGAGAAGCGCAATGTGACAAATTCAGGTAAAATAGTAAGACCCTCAACGAAATGCATTCTGCTGACAGAACTCAACCACATCTGCACTCACCTCTAAAAGGCAGAGCCCCAAAACCCCGGTCGCCAAGCCCAGCGCTCCAAGCGGGCCAATCGTCTCCCCAAACAAAAGAGCGGCTAGCAGGGCCACCGTAAGGGGCTGGGAATCGATGATGACACTGCCAAGACCAGCGGATGTTCGACTCAGGCCTTGTGCCAAGAATCCCTGCAATGAAAAGCATTGTTTGCGGGTCGAACTGTGGTCAGTGATCAGTAACAGAGGCAGCGCCCGCTTTTCAACGTCCTCGCTGAAATGACTCGGGAGATTACTTTTTTGAACCATTTGTGAATTGCTTCAGCCCAACACTGTCCAAGTCTTGCATACGTTGGGGGTCTGAAGCAGGCAAAGAGTTGAAGCTCCTCATGCGATCTGACATGTCATGATTCATCCAGGGGAAGTTGCCAACAAAGGCTGATCGATCCTCCGTCGTTTGTACTATCTTATCAGCCTCCATCACAACGCAGACTGTCTCATCTCCCCCAATAAGTGAGACAAGGTGTTGGGTGATTCCCCGTAGAACAAGAAATACTCGCAGCGACAGATTTTGGGGCCTCGCTTCAACACAGAATCCAGCTCAGCACACTCCGCTCACCTGGAACATGGTACCGTCTACAAGAGCAAACAGCGCCACCGCTAGCCAGGCCATGGCTGTGCTCGGATTAGACTTTCCTTTCAACATCGTAAACCCGATCAGCATCCCCCCTGCCGGCAGCAACCTTGTGGCCGCTACGAACAGGGGGCCTGCTTTCGGCAGCACCTCTTTCATAGCGACCATCGCCGTGCCCCAGAAAAAGAAAGGTGAGATGAGCAGCAAGGTTTCCCCTATCTCCCGAAGGCTAGAGAAAAGAGCGGTTTCGCTTGAAGCTTCCCGCCAGCCATTTGACCCTGAAGTGGAGGCTGGTGACAGAGCGCTTTCATTGTCTGTACCACTAACGCGGCCACCAGATGTCCCCAGGCTGCGCTGATCAGTTTCATCGATTCTATCACTCTGGTTGACAGCAAGTACCTGACCTGCTTTTTCGTCAACCTCTTTTATTGGGTTGCCCCCTGTAAGATCTTTTTCCGGCGCCTCCACCACTTGATCAGAGGACTTTCTGCTTGAACAGCACACACCTCCATGCCCTGATCTTTTTCCTATACCTGAATGCAGGCCCTTCTCAAGAGTCCTGCATCGGGCCCTCCTTTCTACCAGCGACCAGCTTTTCTGCAACCTCCTGCTTGTATTATAGATCTGACATGAGTGCAAAGCTTCCGGTGACCATGCGACGTTCAAATGTGGAGATGGCTTCCTGTCAACATGCAGCCCCTGAGCCGGCCCAGAAGCCTGTCTGCAAGTTTCCCAAATAGACGACATGATAGCTTTGGTTTCTCCGCCGAATTCTCCGATCAGCGCCTCGCATTGGCGCTTTCCATGCCGAGATCAGCTATGTCTCCGCTTGGAATCCGGATCTTGCAAACAATTGGCTGTGCAATGTGCCTCGGTACTGGCGCTGCCACCTTCAGCCTTCAGACGCCCTAGGACAGAATATGACAATAGGCTTAGCACCGTTTTGCCCTTCATCATGAAGTTCCAACCCTTACATTTCGAGTAGAACCTGATGATCTGCTCAGCTTAATTCCAGAAGTTTGCTAGCTTCATAACGAGACATCTACTGCTGTAGATATGCCGGGATATGCCAGGATATAGGTATATGCTAGCTCAGAAACCGACTTGATTCTGTAGTCAGAGCCTAGTACCTAGTAGAAAGAAAAGAACTCTGGAGGCGAGGTACCCTCAGGTAAATTGTCAAATTTGCAAAAACCAATAAGCGGATGGCTTCGTGGTGGTCTTGCAGCCAAGATGGCTGGGCCTGAGCAAACCCTAAATCTGAGCCTGAGGTCGTCACCTTGCAAGGATAATCATTAGAATTGAGCTAAACTTGGTTGACTCGCTTGAATGCTTGAGCGCAGGCGCTCAACCAGCTTTCGAGTTTCAGCAGCTACACTGTAAGTCTTCAAAAACACAGGAGGGAGCTGAGGCGAAGTGTGCTCTGATCAATCTGCAATTGCCGCAACCTCAGCAGAACCAGGCGCATACGTGCCTTGCAGCTGGATCTTCTCCCTTGAGATCTCTGAATTAAATCCAAGATGGCGCCCAGTCCAATAGTTGCAGGACAGCTCTTTTCCAAGCAGACGCAGGCGCTGTTCTACAACTACAAGCCCTTGCCGGTGCAACGGATGCTGGATTTTGACTTTCTATGCGGTGAGGCCCGTGCATTGTGTGCTTCTTGAGAACCAACCCTTCCTGATAGAAAGCTCCTCAAAAGCAGCTTCTTCCTGCACATTGGACTTGATCTTCCCCAGCGCCTGTGATTGCAGTGAAGATCCATGGGTCAGTGTTGTGCATTATGTAGCTGTTAAGATGAAACGGATCTCTTTCTCAACAGGGCGTATCACTCCATCCGTGGCTGGCGTCATCAATCCTGGCTCCGACGGCTTTCAAAAGCTCTTCTTTGGTCAAGAGGAGATCGCCATTCCGGTGCACGGAAGGTCCGTGGACTACCATGGTCATGAGAAAGCTGCGATAGAAGATCAATCAGGCACTGTGGACAATTGCATTGTAGCTATTAATCCTTATGTGCTATCTGCAATGTGCTTTGCTCTGTCTGCCAGCTGCTTGCACTGTCACCCATTCTAAAAGCGGCTTATCAAGACACTCTAGAATCCATTGGAGAGTTATGTATCTCAGGGGCTCTGGTCACCAAGTGCATTATTCTACTTTCTTGCAGTATCCCAAGTGCCTGCAAAGCACACCCAAAGGCGGATGTCTTGATCAACTTTGCATCCTTCAGAAGGTCAGCCAGCCTCTGTATCACTGCACAAGCAAGTTAGGAAAGTGCGCAACTTGCTGTGCTTCTAACAGCCATTGAAATGCGGACGACTTGCAATTTGAGATGATCTGTTTTCCCCCCAGGCATGTGAAGACGTAGCTTGCGATAAGTAGATAAGATTTTACACTTGGTCACATCACCAAAGCTTTCATCACATACATCACTGCCTCTCTATGCAGTGCTTTCGCGTCTTCAATGGATGCCCTGAAGCAGCCAACCATCCGCGTTGTAGCAATCATCGCAGAAGGCGTGCCTGAGCAGGACACGAAGAAACTCATTGCATATGCCAGGGCCAATAACAAGGTGAGGTCTCATAGAAAGACCTCCAGGTCATAGATGGGATTGAAGCACCTGGCTAGTCAAGCTTAGATCCAAGTAAATCTTTGAAACTCCTTAGCTCAGGTGATGTGACAGGCAGTCCCGTGCCTTGAGCTTGTATTTTAGCTCCATATGATCGATTGAGTCCAAGGGTAGAGGTCGTAAGAGATTTCCGGGCTAAAGATGGGCTCAAAGCAGTCATGCGTCCCTGTATTGAAGCAGGGATGGTTATATTCTTGCTTTCGGTCAACACCACCTATTTTGAAGACCGCATTTGTGGCTTCTCAAATCCAGGTCATCCTGGGGCCAGCAACTGTGGGGGGTGTCCAGGCGGGGGCCTTCAAGATTGGAGACACAGCCGGCACGCTTGAGAATATTATTGCGTGCAAGCTGTACCGGCCAGGCTCTGTCGGCTTTGTGTCCAAGTCCGGGGGCATGTCCAACGAGATGTTCAACGTCTGTGCGCGTGTGACTGACGGGATCTTTGAGGGGATCGCGATTGGGGGGGATGCATTCCCAGGCTCAACACTTTCTGACCACTGCTTACGATACAACAGTATACCTGCGGTGAGCCCCTTCTCTGAATTGAAGCGACAAATTTATCCAATGAGGTGGCTTTGGTTGTATGCACCCAATTCGCTGCAAGTGTTGAAACCAGTAGCTTTTCGCCACAGCTTCACAACTCCTCCATTGATGTTCCAGGCTGGAATTCGAAGTTACACAGACGATACTGTAACATCTTTCACCATTTCTTGGGGATGGTGCGGTGCCTTCAAAAGTTGAAGCCAACTTGCACAACTGACACAATTGAATGTGTGCATTGGTCCTTACTGCAGGTCAAGCTCATTGTTGTCTTGGGTGAAATCGGAGGGCAAGACGAGTACAGCCTGGTGGAAGCATTGAAAGCTGGCAAGATTCAGAAGCCGGTGGTTGCCTGGGTCAGCGGGACGTGCGCAACGCTGTTCAAGTCGGAAGTGCAGTTTGGCCACGCTGTGAGTAATTCCTTCCTTCACTCATCCTGCTCTCTTGCGCAGGTTCTTAGTTGCTATTGGAATAGTCAAACATGATCATCAGATTTGCCGGTGTTGTGGTCAGAACATCGGCTATACTTAGTTTCCCGGATGTAGTTCCAACCTTGTGCGAGTTGCTAACTTTTTGAAGAGGTAGAACGCTCTGGTAACCCACGCTTCAGACCAGCTCATAAGCTGCTTGTGGTCTATATCTCGTACATTTTCAGCCGGGTTCAATCCATGCTCCTACGAGGACATAGAGAAGACTGATCTGGGCGCTTCGACTGCTCAGTAAGGCCGGAATGTGACCTAGGCTTCTGAACTTGGGCAATCTACGGGCTGGATTGACTTGTCCAGATTTTGGCCCTGTGCTGACCGCCGCCAAAATCTCCAACTTGTCTAAGAACTTGAGAGGGATCCCTCTGCAGGGAGCCAAGAGCGGCGGGGAGGAAGAGTCCGCGCAGGCAAAGAACGCCGCACTGAAAGCGGCCGGCGCCATTGTCCCGACCAGTTTCGAGGGCCTGGAGGACGCGGTCCGGACAGCGTATCAAGCACTCGTGGAGGAGGGGACCGTGACACCCGCGCAGGAGGTGGAGCCGCCGATCGTACCGGAGGATCTGAAGAACGCAATCAAGGCAGGGAAAGTGCGCGCGCCAACACACATCGTGTCGACCATCTGCGATGACAGAGGTGGGCTGTCAGAACGTGGTCTCATTCGTGCTTGGATTCCTGCTCCGAGACGCTTCGAAACGAATAAAAGTTGGTTCTGCTCACATTGAGGGGTGACTTCTGTTTCTACTCAACGATCTGACCGGCTCTGCTAAAAACCATGTTTGGAGCAGCTGGGCAGTAAGATCAGGCCGGAGATTGATCAAGCGCGCCCGTTTTAGTTTGAACGCTTTTAAAGGACACCTTGAAACGAACAGAGGGGCCCTCGTTAAGTATTCAGCTTGGTGCAAGCCTCTAGAGCGCCAGCGCCCCTCGCCAGGGCCTTCGCAGCTCCGTTCTCAAGTTCTTCTGAAGACGCGGATTTCTAAGATGGGTACAAACCCGCTGACGAGGTTTTTCTTTCTCTTGGCATCTGAAGAGCCAGCTCTCTTGCCAAGACCTCCGCCGCTCCGTTCCAGAGTCCTTCCCAGATTACAATGGACGACGTTCTTGAATCTTGCCTCAGTCACGCTTCAACGTACCTACGCGCTTCTCTGGCATGAACGTCAAGCATTAGGCATAAGAAAGCTTCTCAGCCAATGTTAATGACCCAAGCATTGACACCACATACTCCACACCCTTACCCACCCTGAACCCCCAACGTAATGCCATCTTTGTTGGCGAGCTTGCTATTTCTGAGTTGGATCTGACCGCTTCTCCGTCCACAGGCGAGGAGCCGACGTACGCGGGCGTGCCGATGAGCACCATCATCGAGGAGGGCTTCTCCATGGGCGACGTGCTGAGCCTGCTGTGGTTCAAACGGTCGCTGCCCAAGTACTGCACGCGCTTCATCGAGATGTGCATCATGCTCTGCGCCGACCACGGGCCCTGCGTGTCGGGCGCGCACAACACCATCGTCACCGCGCGCGCGGGCAAGGACCTCGTCTCCTGCCTCGTAGCGGGTGAGCCGACCGACGCTGCTGAGACGTGCAGGAATCGGGAGAGTTGAACAGTCACTGACCTAGGGCCGCTGTTGAAACTGATCGGTGTCGAGAGTGGCTCTGCCTTCCGGTCGGCGGAGCAAGACTCGTTCCTTGTCCCAGATTGAGAGCTTTACTGCCAGGCGGACGGGGCAAATTTTGAAATTTGGTATCCAGGGGTCAGTAGTGGACATCTCCTGGAGTCATCTGCCCCTTCGACAATAATTTGAGGGCAACCGCCAAAGGAAGACGGAGGACTCGTGTGTCCCGAGCGGTAAATCTGGCGGACTGATGCTGTCTTTGTGACCAGGGTCCACTTGAAAGCAAGCAACCAGTATCTCGTCGGCTAGTCATGACCTTCGCCTTACAGACCCATTCATTTGACGCCTTCTGACGTCACCCGTGCAGGGCTGCTGACAATCGGCCCCCGGTTTGGCGGCGCCATCGACGATGCTGCCCGGTACTTCAAAGACGCCGCGGACAAGGGGCTGAAGCCGTTCGAGTTCGTGGAGGGGATGAAGAAGAAGGGCATCCGGGTGCCGGGAATCGGGCACAGGTGAGAAGCACCAAGGGGACCTGGCAGGCTGAATGCAAAACGATCGTGCATGCTCGATTGTCAGGACTCTAATAGGGGCCTGAAAACCTACGGTGACTCGAACGCAAAGCTCCACAATCTCGGCTCTTCTTTCAAGACACCGTGCGTGCGTATACAGTATCTCTCGACAACCTACCAGCAATTGTTCCAGGAACAGGCAGCCTGCCGTTCGCCTCTGTCGGTTGAACAATCAGGGATCTTATGCATCCTCCGGCGGAGTGAGAAATTGCTGGTGCTCAGCCCCGTGATTTCCATGTTATAAGAAGTTCTGCTGAATTCGCCGCTTTGTACACATTTTATCCTTTTTGTTCCAGGATCAAGAGCCGCGACAACCGGGACAAGCGCGTGGAGCTGCTACAGCAGTACGCGCGCGCCAACTTCCCGTCCACGCGCTACATGGACTACGCCGTGACGGTGGAGACGTACACGCTCACCAAGGCCGCCAACCTGGTACAGCTCACCTCGACCACCTCGACTTACTGACATCTTCTGTTGGAATCGAATCAGTGTTTCGAGAACGATTGCATAAACAGAGACCGGCACCTTCGGAGTTACTCGCAATAGTGCTTTTCATTCAGGTTGACTGGAGCCGTTTGCGGTGAACCCGCAGGAACATTCACGTAACCCAGAAAGGCTCATGCTAGGTGCTCTCGAAAGGGTCGCAAACATCTCCAATGTTTTTCGGCCTTCCTGCCGTTTTCTTCCAAGTTTGAGCGAGCAATCGCTTCAACACCTAGTTGCACTGGGCTTATCCAAAATGTTTGCCACCCGCTTCTCCTCGGTACACTTGATGGCGGCGCATTAAAACCCGCGACCGCATCGACCCCAGTGCTGTTTTTGTTCCGATCCGGATGGTCCACCGCCGTTGATCGCATCTCCCCGCGCAGGTTTTGAACGTGGACGGCTGCATCGGGTCGCTGTTCCTGGACCTGCTGGTCAGCTGCGCCATGTTCACGCAGCACGAGATTGACGAGATTGTGGACATCGGGTACCTGAACGGCCTCTTTGTGCTCGCCAGAAGCATCGGCTTCATTGGGTGAGCCGATGGCATGCAGACTGTTCATTGGCTTCCACCGCCGTTGAGGCCATTGTTTTGCGAAGCCTGCTCGGCAAGACTGTTGTACATCTGCATCTGTTACTGTCTTTCATTCCAGCTTTCATCCTCGATTTCTTACTTTAAGGGGTGGCGCTCATGTCATCTTCAATCTCGTCTTTGATTCCAAGGATGGCGCTTCACATAAGAGCCCGACTTTACGAGACTTGTAATTCCTTTTTCTCACCGTTTCATTCTCTTTGCAATTTCCTGTTATGAGCGGGTTCCGGTTTCACAGCTGATGAATCGCTTTCTTCTTCCAATTCGAGAATCTCTCCCTTCCTCTATCTGTCTCTGAGGTTGGCGGCTTGCTTTGCGCAATCAACTCGGACAAAAGCTTACGGCAATCGTTTCGGCCCTGTGCAATAACGATACGATGCTCGTCGCCTCGACGGCCTAGATGCATCAAGCCCAAAGGGTTCTCCTCAACTTCCTTCCAACCAAAGCATTCGTTCATACAGGCACACATTCGATCAGAAGCGTTTGAAGCAACCTCTGTACCGGCATCCTTGGGAGGACGTCCTTTACACAAATGTCGAGAGCTCAGCTCAGCCGAGGTAAACGCAGACTGTGTTGACTGCCCTAGGATTATTAGTCGTGCAAGCGGGCACAACCGGAGGGATGTAGCAGACACCTGTGGCTGGACTTCTTCATAAGCGAAGCTTTCATGACGCGATCGAACTGACGGATATTACAGAATGGACGGTAGGGCTCTGCTCATGATGTGTCAATCGCCTTGACATATTGCGCAAAAGGCGCGCTCTGTAACAATTGCTCGTTCTTGGTAGTTCCTAGCTTATCTGCTCGTTGTGACGCGAGTGTCTTTGAAGTATTGAACTACAGCTTTGATATACTGTGCTCAAAGACTCTAGTAATAGACAAATATGAATGTGCGTGCATGAGCATCACAACCGGCCGCAGAACTTAGTACGGCACCATCCACTTCTTATAGTACGTGTCATTGCGGCGTGCCAGGTTGGATTGATTGGATCATTGCATCACAGCATGTCAGGAAGAGTCAATTGCAGTAGAATAATTGGTGCGCCGGCCCAGGGTTCCGACATCATGGCTCGATGCGACAGGACTCTTCTTCAATTATGCTAGAGTATAGCTGGATCCTTTCTAGTGAAATTACCTTTCATCTGATCGAATGCATGCATTGCATTCCAATTTGCGCGTTGCATTCTTAAAAGCGTATACGTCCAGGTCGTTGAAGAATAGAGCCCTTCAATGACTTTCGAATAGGCAATCTAGTGCCATGCCTGGCAGCCCGGCCGTCAAGGATATCTGGCGCCAGTGCGTGATGGTCACTACGATAGTCGGCCGCAGCCGGAACCTGACTAGTAGTACGTAAAGCGTCAGGCTTGGTCGGATCGATCCGGCCGACCGCGGGCCATCATGCACTTCTAGCTAGCACGCAATCGCACTAAGCAGCTCGCAGTGCATAGCCATACTATACGTCACCTATTTCGAGTTCCCCCCAATGGGTGCTAGCTCTTCAACGGCAGGCTCAGCCTTTGTCGGCTCACCTTACGAGCAAAGCGTAAAGAATGGAGCGCCAACTTAAGTTTTGCGTTGGGCTCTCTGAGGGCTCTCTGAATATCTTTCCTTAGAGCTTGCTGCCCCTGCTGGCATTCTTATGTATGCTGGTCACTCTTGCCCGCTCTGTGGTGACATGATTCATTTCTTGTTCAGAGTCGTACATGCGCGAGTGGTTGCAACGATGCTGACCTTATGGACTGAATCACTGTCTCAAACAACAAAGCTGCATTGCACTCGAGCAGGAAGACATATGGAATTCTGTTGCCGTACATGCTGAGATCTTACGAAGCCTATACTGGATGAATTGCAGCGGTACGTCGACTCAATGCAATCAGAAACCCGAAACCGGCACGTTCTGCGCGTCTGCTACTTAATGAGCCCGTGACGAGGGCATCTTTTCCGTAGAAAAGTCGCTTCTGCCTATACAAGTTGGCCGGAATCTCTGGGTTCTAGTAGCTTGTGAGGATCCTAGAAACCTACGTGATTGCTTTACAAAGCTGCAGATCAATTCTGCTGCCCCGGCGAGCTCAATGCTTCAGTGAATCATGATCATCGGTTGCGAGAGTGGAATGCTAAGGGTCGATTGAGTCAAACAGAGTAGAACCATTTCGCCCAAATCAAAACTGGTCTCTGAAATATCTGCGAGAATATGGGATCTCCCAGACCACGTTGATTGACCCTATCTACGTCTTTGTTGTATCTAAACATTCCTTCTAACACTCATTCCTGAAGCAGTGCTTCTTGTGCGTTGGCCAATGTAGCTTCTGATGATCCTTGCTGCAGGCGCATCAAGAGTAGAGACTGTATCAATTTTTCAGAAGCAATCGACGTGCGAGATCACCTCCTGCAGCTGGCTCTGACTGGACCGCACCCGGAGCTGAAAAGAAGAACACAAGAAGGACCCGAAAAACAATGAAACGTTCAACTTCCTCGAACTCCATAAGGCTTGCAAGAAATTGTCACTGTTTGTCCCAAGCGCCATGCCTCCACCGCGCATACGCTTAGCGGATGCTCGACTAGGTAACGTACTGATCGACTAGTATTAGAATGTTTTCGTGTATGTACAAAGATCTGCAACATCTTGCAGTTATTCGACAAAACTAGGTCATGCTTACCTGCAGTAGTACGCAGCCGCGCAGCGCCCACATCTGCTGAACTTTTTCCTCCTCGTCTCCGTCAAGTACTTCTCGAGATCGATTTCGCCGAGCAGTTCCGAAGCTTGGTCCTCTCCCTCAGAGCAACCTTCCCACGAACAGACCGTTGGCACATCTACATCATGCATTCGCTTGACAGCCTGGCTCCAAATTGCAGGTTTCGGCACCTTGGCTCGGGAAATCCTACATCTGTCATCGAGCAGTTCTTTGACGACTTGCCAAACCCCAGGCAATGCTGAGTCGACCGATCTTGAGTAAGGGTCGAAGATAGACAGCACTCTTGCTTCTCTCATTTTCCTAACAAGGGCTGAATTTTCCACCAAACGAAGGATGACGAACAGACAACCGCCCGGACACTTGTCTCCATCGTCAAAGCGTCTTCTGATGCCGGAGCCACAGATACTTCCCAAGAGCCGGAGGTACCCTTGCTCAATCATCCACTCTTGGCTGTCCTTTGGAAGAGCAAGGGCCAGAACCAGACTTGTCACTCCTTGCCTGACACTTACGAGGACCTCATTACTCATTTGCTTGATGGTGTCGTCCTCGAAGAGAGACAGGACGGCGGGAAGCACTCTCGCATGCCCACGGATGTGCTGACGGAATTTCTCCGAAGCGCGCGCGTGGTAGATTAGTCCATCAAGGCAGGCAGCCGCAAGATGGCCACGGTCCGCTCCGTAGTCGGCGGTGTTGAAAAGATCTTCAACAGCTGTAGAAGCCCTTGCAGCCTTGAGGTTCTCCAAAAAGAAGCACAGAAGCTCCTCGCTAACCCCCAGATTGTCCTGACAGAAGAGCGCAAAGGCCTTGCTCGAAGAGAGGCTGACGAGGGCGAACAAGGACGCTTGAGCAAGTTCTGTTCCGCTCTCTGCAATGGTAGAGCGCCTGAAGGCATCGTTGACGCTTTCCGAAGTTTCAGCCCTTGTTGGGCTGCTCTGGCCAAGCGCCTGACTCATCAACTTCTTCACAACAGCCCCTTGCTGGTAGACTGCTAGTTCTTGAACCAATCTTGGGAAGAATGTGTGGCCAATGGGGTTGTTCGCCTTGGTTGATTCGAGAGCTACGTGTGCTTGTTGCAGGGTCCTAGGATCATTGGAAAGAAGTTGGGACGCGCGATCAATGACTTGGTCCTCCATCTCGCCTTGGTTGTCGTGCTTGCAGCCTGTAGAAAAGAGACACTCCGATATATATTCACGTAAAAGGATCAATGTCCTTTACAATCTCACGCTCTTCAAAACACTCTAGGCAATTCGTACCAGTGGCTTCCAATCTTGTTCCCCCTACAGCATGCCTGTCAGCTCGCTATCTCTTGAAAAGTGGATCGTGCTTAAAAAGCTGGAATACTACCGAAGAGCTGGCTTACAGGCTGCATAGCCAGACTCACGTAAAAGCTTTGGGCAGCAGAGCTGCTTCGCAAGCCGAATGAAGGACTTGGCAAATGCTTGCCTTAGTAAGGTATGCGCGCTCTCTGTGCAAGATTGTAGCATCCGAGTCGTGCGCAAAGTCGGCTTGCCCTGCAGTGTCAAGCGACTGCCAAACCTTTTGGTGGGGTGCTTCTTAATATCATGAAATGCGCAGAATGTTGGAGGTGCAAAGTCGAAATCAGTCCGACTCACAAGAACATCAATCGCCATGACACTGATCGATGCGCATGCTTGATTGATCGATGTAGGCCCGCAAGCCATGCCAGTACATCACCATGGCATGCGAGATTCAAGGGAGAGCCTGAATCTCATGAATTGAGCCGGAAAATAAGCTTCGTTGTTCGTCATGCAAAAGTTTTTGGCTAGCGTTAGACCGGTCGAAAAGGCTATGCAGGCTCTAGAGCGCATGTGCGGGCGGTCCGACTGCCGTTCAACAAAAAACATAGCTCGATCTCATGCAATCGCAATGACACCACGTAATCTTGCGGTGCAGGTTTCGACATGCAGCTGGGTCGATATCGCTCAAAATGCATTGATGCTGTAGTGGACATGAGACTACCCATCCGCATGTGACAAGCATGGCGGCCCCACTAGGACCATGTGATCCCTGCACCTATCGTGGTGTGCATGTATGGGGGTAGCGTGCTTCCTTATGGGGATCGTTTCTTTGATTGAGCCTAGCTGTTTTGTCACTCCCCACAGCACGTACTCCTTGAGGTTGAGGTTCTCGTTATGGCATTGGTTGCAAAAACGTCAGACCTTTTACCATCTTATGTATAGGTCCTCGCTTCACAGGCATTGCGAATGGAGAATGAGATTCAGTTTTTCTCGCCTCAAACGGGCAGAGTCACGTTTGAATCTGTTGAATCTTCACAAATGACAAGAAGCAAATCCCAACTTTCATAAATGACTGCAGGTTGCAGCCTAAAGCCATGCTCAGGTTCGAACACCCTTACACTTTGCCGGTGCATGTCAAGTTGAGAGGTTTTTTGTCCGCCGGCCCTGCTTTGTTCTTTCAATTGTGCTATCATCTGGTCACCGCTCGAACAAGCTCGTCCCGCCCACCTTGTGCTCTCTAGTCCGTCTTCTCCAGGCCTACCGGACATTCTTGTCCCCTCCCTTCAGCCCCTTCTTCTTACTCGGACTCCCAACCACTATGTTGCCGCCCTCTTTTCCCTCTAGTCCCTCACACATCGAAGCACCCCCGCAGGTTTTATACTGGTGCGAGTGCACCAACGATACCCGCACGAGCGCCGCTTCCAAGTCCCGGATGCCCACTCCAGCCTTCTCCGCCAACTCTTCCAGGGGGTGCGGCGAGCCCAGAAGCTGGGCTGCCTGCTCGCCCCCGGGCTCGGAAAGGTTTGTCTTCTTCTTGGTTGCCTCGTCCACAAAGTCGAGGAGCCCCAAGTGGGCGGCCGCGCGAATGACCCGGTCGTCGAACTCGGGCTGCGCGCCGGGCCAGATGCCCCGCAGCTCCCTGCAAAAAGAGCAATTGATTTCCAATCAGTCCGCAGCTGCTTTTGATTGCGCTCGAGAACGGTCACAAACTCGTTACACAGACCGTTTAACAGAAGTCGTTAATGCCATTGTGGCAGTGACATACTGCGTTTCACACAGGTGTGCTCCCTATCTATTGGGCTCTTGAATAGAAAAGGTTGGACAAAGTCACGAGCAACAAAATTCACACCAAGAAGAATCCAGCGATGGTGAGTGACAAGTTCCACGGGACGTATCCATTGTTGACCCCAGAGTGCCGCAAAGATAAGGACGATCCAACGGTGGCCAGAAACGAACGAAGTTGTTGGACACCGAGCGGCCTCGTCCGCCAAGAAAAAGAAGGCCTGCACAAAGGTTAGCAATGAGCGCCGAGTTGTCGACAGAATTGCCAGGTGTTGTCGCTCCGATCAAGGCTGGACCTGCTCTACGTCAGCTTCCAGTCACACGTGCCGAACTACAGAATCCAAAAACCGTACTCAAGAACCAGCACTTCCAGAGCCAGATGCAAAAGTCAGATGAAAAACATCACCCAACAGTCCACCTCTCAAAGACGGATCCTCGGATTCCCTAGCCAGATTTACAAGGATCCCACTCGAAGTCGCTTTACCTGAGGAAGAGTATGGCCGTGCTGCGCCCCGCTCCGTGCAGCTTCTCCACCTCGCGCTCCAGCGCGCGCGGGTCCGCGATTGCCTTAAGATCCGCCACCGTCTGGTGCGGGCCCTCCTCTAGTTGCTCCGCCACGCGCTTGAGCCGCGCCGCCGTCTGCTGCATGTAGTGCGTGTACCCGCCCTGCTGCAGCAGCTCCGCCAGCTGCTCTTGTCCGAAGTCGGACGCGTCCTGCGGACGCACCAGGCCGGCGTCCGCGAGCACCTGGATGCGGCAACCTTGGAATCAAAAGCTGAAGACGTCTTTGGTCACGTCTATGTACGCGAGTTTGGGCTATTCCAAAGCGGACGGGTGGATAAAAAGGCGCTTACTTGGGATATTCCTGTAGGGGATATGTCCTGTGAGTCGAGTTCTAACAAGACTGGAGAAATTGTATTGCACCGCTTGTCACAGTCAGTCGCCTTCCCCAACTTTGTATGCCCCTTTTCAAGATTACTAGAGCCATCCGATTGCAGATGTTGAACGGCTCTAGTTCCGTGTTCGGCGCAGATCGAGTTTTGCCAGCCCATATTAGTAGGCTGTGCAGGAGAAACCGAAGACTGTGATCCCCAGCCTTGCACCGACAATCGCAGAGTTCATAACTTCTGTTGACTGAACAAGCCAGTAATTTCACAGGCAAGACACGAGGGTCGACGGGCTTCTCAGAACTGAGTGGGCACAGGAGTCTCTCAACTTTGTTGCGACTTCCCTATGTTTTCAGAAGCTTCCTGCTTTTGTATTGCGAAAGACCTTCTGACGGACTGAAAGATGGGAGGAATGACAACCGCTTACAGGTTCTAACTCTCAAGGTCCTAGCAACACTCCTTGTGTTTCAAGCCCCGATGGAAATGCTTGCATCACAAACTACTCTGTAGCCTAGCTACATCCCTTTCCCGCAGCCTCTCCTGAATCAACGGCACTTGGAACGGAGTCTTCACTCCCAATACATCCCTCTACCAAACAAGCAGAGACAGACGAAAACTTCGTGCTATCTGAGAAGTAGACAAATGCAGAGCTCCCCTTCTCCAAGCAGCTCAGACAAGCATGAGCTGCACCCGCAACATCATCCGACCACGCCACCAATCGCTCATCTGAGTCCTCATTGCAAACAAGCACTGACCTGATGCGTCTTGAACACAATGTTTGCTGAGATGCGGTGGTTGAACAGCAGCGCCCACAAGAACCACTTGTCGATTGCCTCGGGGGATCCCTCCGCCAGATCGATCCCGAGCTGCTCCACAAACGTACCCCCCAGGTTGCGCACCAGCTCGCGTGCGGTCGTTATGGCCTCCTTCTGGCTTGCGGGCCGCTTGGTCAGACGCCGTGGCTTAGTCCGCCGCCGGGACTGTACATCGGTGAACGATATTGAGGAACAGAAGCAGGAGTGAACTTATTGGCTCTGTCGTGAAATTCTTTTGAGATAATGAATTGGGACCAGACTTCCAGTGCCGGAAGAACCGTGATATGTGACCCTACAAGCATGGGCGCGGCAACATGACCAACTAATCCCCAGTACAGAAACCTTGCAGAACATCCGATTTGAGCTATGGCGAGCGCCAAAACTGTTCCATTGTTCTTCTGAGGTTTTGGACTGTCTTTGTGATTTCTCGCCTTCACAGGCTAAGACAGACTTCCACAAAGGGCAATGCAGCCCTTGATACCCTGTGGCCCTGCGAACCACTTTCCTGAATTTTGAGACATCGCTAGTATTTCAGAAAATATATCGTCCTCACTGTGAGAGGAAGTTCGAAGCAAGTGCTGTATCACATTCTACTTCCTGGCTTGCGTCCTTGCATTGGCTCCTGAAAGACCTCCATAAACATTCGCATGCCGAAGAGAACACTACCATCTTTGTTCGTGAGTATCAGAGTACACCAAAGGCCAAAGAAAGCCGAAACATTGTCAAGCTATGACACATTGGAAAAAGCAAACCACCACCGCTTGCACCTCAGCATAGCAGATTCAACGCGCCTGACCAGTGCAGTTTTAAAGCACAGGTGATCGAAGGCATTCTCTTTTAGAGATACGCACTCTATGACCAGCATGCCAACACACAGTAGCAGAACCTATGACTTCAGAGACACTGCTACTAAAAAGCGACTCATAAGTTCCTCTAAAAATGACTCCAAGGTATGGACAACCGTACTATCGGTCCAAACTGAATCTATGCACACTTGCATAAAGCAGTAGAGATACTGTGTCAAAAACCAAAGTTCCATTTACCTCTGGGCTCCTGAGTTCGCTGGTATCTTCTGTGAAAGTGCTCACATTGGTGTCACCTGCAATGGTCCACGCAGAGATCAACAACGGCAGAGACACAGAAGTTGCATCACAGACGATCCTCAAAGAATTTGGCACAAGTGCAGCCTTCTGGCCCTAAGGTGGCCCAGTGATCTTTCCACTATCTATCTGGTGGCCCACCTTTACTGCTCCGAGCAAATAATAGCAGAGACTGTAAAGTATCCCTGTATGAAAGCTGTACGGAGATTTCCGCTCATTTACCCACATTCCACATGAAGCAATTACAGATGATGGTCGGCCAACAGATTCTTCTCAAAGCTACGTCATGCACCTTCTGACCGACAAGCTAAGGAACACCTCCTTTCTTTGCAAGCACGACCAGAAATTCAGCAAGTACTTCTTCAACATTTTGACAATTGCAATGCTCAACAATCTTTGCACACAAGTTGCAGGTTTTTCTCCAACCGCTTGTGCTCTCAAGGGAACACATCACAGGCTTTCAATCCCTGAACTGCAATGTTGTTTGAACGACACAATTGATCGCACAGCAAGCAGATGCTTTTCAAAGACCAGGTGCGATCAGACATGCATATGTGCATGTTTGACTGCAAATCTGCAAGTAAGTGCCAGCTTGTCTCACCCGGGGTAACATCTGACTGGGCAGGCGCCTTGAAACCAATTGGCCGAGCATCAGCGGATGGAGTATCTGGTGCATTCGTGTCCATCAAGCGTCGCTTTTTGGCCGGGGGAGGCTTGGACTGCTCTGCCTCTTGTTGCTCGACCTCTTGCTTCACTGTAACAGGTGAGATTTTAGACTTCAATTTGGGCTGGGCTGACTAATCTTGGAATCCTTGAGATGGTAAATTGAAGCTACCTCTGCTCAAAAAGTTTCCTTAAGAACCTTGACAGCAGGTAAACTGAATCTTGACAGCAGGTAAATTGCTCTCAATTTAGCATCAGGAAGCTGCCAAAATCCAAGTCAGCAAGGCGCAAGCACAAGCACTGCAGAGTGAATAGCTCTTGATAAGTTTTCAAGCTGTAAGTACTATGGTGACCTGTTTCTCGTAGTGCATGCATGCAAACAGAAAAGGCCAGCAGGAAAGGGTACCGAGATTGGACAGCTATCTTAGAATTGTCTGCTGATTCAAGCAATACAGCAAAAGTGCGATATAAAAGACTGGTAATGTGGCGTGATTTTTAATGCATGTTTGCGCCAGCAAATGGACGTGAGACACTTTCCAGAGGCCAATGATTTTTGAGAGGCCAATACACTCGGATCACCTTCCAGACCATATAGTAGAGCCCGGGTAACTTACCTGCTTCTTCGACCAGTGGTGCATATCCAAACCCTTTTGGGGTGTACTCCCATGCCCGCCCAAAAGCTGCTTGTGCGGTTTCCCATGTCCGCTTCAAGTAACCATGGAATCCCGCTCTTTCTTCCATCGCAAGTTTAAGCCTGTCGCCCAATCCAACAAACTATCTACACATGAACGTAAAAAATGGTCCCTGAATGCTTGCCTGCTTCTATCAAAGACGACTTCCAATCCCCGAAGTGCTCCCTTCAAAACCTTCTACTTCCTTTCGTCCCTGATAAACTTTTGTCAAGTCCTGGTACCTACAGGCTCCCTACAGGCTACGCAGCCTACGCTGTGTACCTACTAGGTACGGTAGTACACAGGCCTGCCCATATTCTAGCTTGCGTCTCATAGAATACTGAACGCTGGTTGGTCAGATCGCTTGCTGACGTAAATCGGCCTAATCCTGACCCATTCACAAGCGGACACTTGTCGGCATCGTGCAAGCTTCACTAAGATTTCGCGCCAAAATTTGTTTCCTCGATCATGTGACCATCATGCCAGTAATGTACCGTACTCCTGTCTGGCATGAACCTCCGTCCGCTGGCCTGGTTAAGTAATTTTTGGCGTACCGGGCGCAGTCCGGGCATCCAACGGTGAAATCGTTCTATTTTCTAAGATCGGACGGTACGCCGATTGCCTTTGCTGAACAGAAGGCTGAGTCCATCCCCCGCCTAAAGGTCGCAGAAAGGAGGGACAGCGCCCGAAAGTGGTGAAGTCCAAAATTGTTATTTTGCCCAGCACCTCAGACTGGCCGCCATGGCTGCCGACATGGCTGAAATGAGCTGGGAGCAGCACCCATGACCAAAATTTCTCAAACCCAACGGCAACCTGAAGCTATGTGCAACCTATAAATTGAATACCAGCTGCTTTCAAAGGTAAATTTGATGCACATTCTCCCCCCAAATCCAAAATGTGCCTTTCAACCCTAAAAGGAGCCTCGGAGGCGCAATGGAGGTTTTGTTGAAAGTCGCCGGGGCAACTATACATCAAATTTTGCAATCTCAACGGCAAGACTGCTCTACAAAAAGCAATCCTAGCTTGCTGAAATGCAAAGTTTGTGGAGAAAGACCTTCTACTCTCCCCCCACAGCCCGTCCCTGCCTCCTCAAGCCCTGAGCACAAGGCAGCCATTGCGGCAGTCTTCTGCTTCAAATTACTGGCTGTAGATGTTCCGGTTTAGGCCTTGACTTCCGGGACTTTGGTTTTACTGAGCACTTTGTCAGTCTTGGGCAACCGCTGAAAGTGCCCGGGGATTCAGCGGAAGTGACCGTCGATGTCACTTCCTCTGGTTCTGAACCGTCCGATGCACATATTTATCTGAACATTCTAGGGGACAAGAAGTTTATGCCAGTCAGGGTACTGCCATTCCCATTCGCACCATGCTGGTGCGAATATTTATTTTCGAAAGTTTTTTGTTTTCGCACCGGCTTCAAATAATTTCCAAATTTTTCGCAAAAGACCTATTTTTCGTTTTTTCCCACTCCAAAAAGCCACAAATGTGACTTTTCTAATTGTTTTCTTATTTCGCATTTTCGCACCTCAGTCGCAATTTAGTTTATTTTTTTTCGCACTGTCCTTAAAATAATCATTTTAGTGCGAATGGGAATGGCAGTACGGTACACTGACATCAGAGTACGGTACGTCCGAGTCGATACTACTCACCGTGGCCCGCCGGCCGCCATCATATGTTTTATGACAATATTGGATGGAGACAACGACCATAACTACCGTACTAGCTACTGTAGGTAGTTGGCATTTGAATGAATCGTCGAGGCATGTCGACGTCGCCGAATGATAGCAATCCTCCGCCATTATGGCTGGCATTGCCGCCTGGAATCTAGATTTACACTGTCCTTTGATTACATGATTTCTAAGGAACCAAATGTTCTGCAGGCCGATCGCGATCTGTTGCTAGCTTGATATTGAACACTATATTTGACCACATGCATGAATTCTAATGCAAACATCAACGCCCCATCAAAGCCATGGAGCACCGTATTTGAAATTGATAGAATCTGTTGACCATGCAACTTCTTCATCTGATAAGTACGCAGATTAAAATGGCCCACAAAGGAATGACCTACGATAACAGAAAGAACAAAGAGCTTGCATGATAATGCATCGGAATCAAGGCCATTCCTCGTGTGCAACTATTACTGCTGGAGCGCGTCTTCAATAAGGGATGGCTGCTGGACAACATGGCGGCCTGGTTGCTTGTTGGTCATGATTGAGGAGCAAAGATGCATGCACGCATTTAAGCCCTCATACGAAAGGGCCTAAAACGGCCCTGCCGGGTTAAGAAGAGCCATAAAACTCAGGGTTGCTCAAAGACCTTCTACTTGGGTCCATGACCCAAAACCTCTTCCCAGCTCACTTCCGCACAATCCGTGTGTGGCACTCAAGACCACGACCAGTTACGCTGTGCCCGGAATCAGGTTGGCGGGCAGCGTGGCGACCCCAAAGCGCGAGTAGAACTTCCTATCGTTGCCAGAGAGCATGTTGCTCAGCGTGAAGGACGTCACGTTGTGCTCTGTTAGCCTCCTGTGCCTGGGCTCTATCCTCCGCTTCAGGCTGTAGCTGAAGAACTCGGGGTACGCAACGGCATCGTCGACGGTGCGGCCCATCGCGTTCGTGAGGTACTCCAGCTTGGGGGCCAGGGAGTTGGTCACGTCCTTGGCCAGCAGGTCAGGGTAGCTGACCACCATCTGGGCGACCTGAATGGAAAAGAGGGTTACAAAAAAGGGTTAGGGGTGATCGAAGATTGAGTGCAAGACCCAAGCGAACTGACGCTAGGGCGTCCGACAGTATCACAAGGAGGCCGAAAGCGGGCGTCCGTTTGACACTACTGTCTTGGTCGCCTGAGCAGAATCAAACAGAAGCAAGAGCCCGGTGGTTCGGAGCTTTGGCAAAAGCGGTGAGCAATAGGTGCAAGGACAAAGTATCCGGTAACAATCACTTCCAAATAAACGAGCTAAAGTCAGCTTCTCCTCATGAAGAAAGCTTGACCTCATGAACGACCAGGTCAGCAATTGTCTCAAAAGAACCGCAAACCTGACTCAGCACCAAACCCGACAATCCGCGCACCTTGTCAGGGCTGAAGCCCATGGCGAGGATGGACTCATACGCCGGCTTGAGCACCGTCTCGACGTTGCGGCTCAACACGTGCGGCGCGCGCAGCACCACCTTGGCGAGGGCGGTGTCCTGGACGCCGATGCTCTTGAGGAACTCGACGACGGGGCGCAGGCGCGCCTCGATGCTGTAGCAGAAGAGCTGCGGGCACTTGGTCACGACGCGTCCGATGTCCTCGGACTTGATTCCGGCAGAGGCCAGGAACTCCACGACGGGCTGCAGCTTGCGGTCCACGCTGTAGCTGAGCAGGCGGGGGAAGCCGGCGAAAAGCTTGCCCATGTCGGCGACTTTGACACCGACGCCCTGGAAAAGAGATCGAAAACGATTCAGGAGCTGACTTCGGAGCAGACAGGTAGAAAGGGAGCCCGAGAAACATCCACTCCTGGCACCCGCAGCATGATTGAGATGAAAGGGAAAAGTGCAAGTCTGTGGAAGAGAAGTCCAAGCTGAATTAGAGCAGCTGCCTGGTCTTCGATCTAACAAGGAGCCAGGCACTCCGACCACTTCTGAAAACTTCAGGCACACCAGATGCTCTACGCTTGGGGCGTCAGGATGAAAATTACAGCATGATTCGCTGAAGTGCGCACTTGCAGGCAACTCAGCACACTGCTTAACAGTCAGCCACACAAACAAACGCAGTCATCTGATCTAAGAAAGGGGAGCAATCCAGCACTCAACACACAAATACGTTGAACACTGTCCTAAGCACAGCCCCGATAATCTTCATAGAATTGCACGTGAACAGCACAGAATTGCGGACGCACTGACCTGCAGGAAGGCGAGGGTGGGCACGAGCTTCTCCTCGACGGAGTGGCCCAGCACCTGGGGGAAGCGCGTGATGAGCAGGCCAACCTGCTCCTTCTTGACGCCGAGGCCCTGCAGGCACTCCACCATCGGCACAAACTTCTCCTCCATGCTGTACGCCAGCACCTGCCGGAAATAGGCACATGCTCAGTGTGGCTGCCAGAAGGCTGCTGACTTGAGCATAGCCAAAGAGAAGGGGCGTTTTGAGGAGAGGGTTCCAGCCCAGGGGAAGAAGAGAGTCTGGTCAAGGACAAGGGGCTATATTGTTGCCGCAGCACCCTCGGTGCTTCTCAGACCAAGACCGTCCTCTTTCCTGCCTCCTCCTGAATGGCAACTCTTTCTGATCGAAGCCAGAAATGAATCTGCCTGAGAAAGGCGCGACGTTGCTTAGGGTATGATACGGGTCAGCGTGCTAACATAAGTACAGAAAGAAAGGCCGCGGGACTTTGCAAGGGAGGCTTGCACAGCGCTGATAATGAGATGAATGGGTAAGGTGTGGTGGGGAATTTGGTGGAATCTGAGCCAATGTGCAACAAGCTGCAGCAAAGGGTTTCTGAAGGGAGGGTTTCTTGAAAGTCAATCAGTCTTGCAGCCCTTGCATACCATAGCTAACTTGAAAGTGCTTGCTACACAAAAACCTCGTCTACTTTTGAAAGCACAAAAAACAGCTTCTTGCGAGCACAAGAGTTGCGCTTTAAAATGCACAAAAACAGGTAAACAAGGATGTTCTACACACTCCACAGGGCCTTCTATATGCTTGTAATTTGCGACAAGTCTGCACACAAGCCCAAACCTGCACCAGAAGTCTCGCGCAACTAACCATGGGGTGGCGAGCAATCATCTTGCCGAGGTCCTTTCTCTTTACGCCGATGCTCCTGAGGTATTCCACATTGGGGCGCAGACGGCCCTCTACGCTGACGTCATTTAGGCGGGGACACTTGGTGAGCGCCTTGTCTAGCTCAGTCTTTGGCACACCGGCACTCTCCAGGAAAGAGCGGATGGAGCCATCGGCCTCATGTGTCCGGACTGGAGGCATGGTGGCAGCCTGCAAAACACATAGGTCCAGCTCAAGTGTCTTAATCAGTTCCTTGTAAGAGCTCCTCCTTACGCCTGCTTGTGCACATTACCCACCAGCTTCACCATGAGTAGGAAACAGCGGTACAAAGTAAATCAGTAAAGGCAAACAGTGGAGCACTCCAAGGCAAGGTATACGCAGATTCAAAACTCGGTAGCAGCGTCACATCCATCATTCTGACCAAAGGGTCTTTTGGAATCCGGAAAGCAGGAGAATCTTAACCAGCATGCATAAATCAACAAGATGTTTTGATGAGACATGGCGCCCATTCAAGAAAGCTCGGCAAGACATTTCTCTGCCCGTCTTGAACTTGAAGCACTTTGGACAACGTAAGGCATTTTGCACGCCAGCAGAAGAGCAAGCTCCGCAGACTGTGGGTGCGCGCGCAATGTTGTTAAAAGCAACGGCGAAAACTCGTCAAAACAACAATGTGCAACGCTGGGAGACATGCAGGCATGACCCAAACAACTACCTGCTTGAAAAGCGGTGTTATAAACGATCACCCAGCACTTTCTGCTTCTTCCTCGCCTATGATAGACACTACATTCGATACAGAATCGCAAGCCGCCAGACACTCGCTTCGTTTAATTTGCTTTGATAACACCTACCACATATTAGCGGTTTCTTGTGCGATCCCCAACCCAAAGTACACGAGCTGCATCCTCAGCAGAAGCTCCTGACAGCCTCAAACACGTGCACATTGACTGCTCACCTCCAAGTGTTCTTGTTGACAACTAAGATACTATCTTTACTTTTCGACGAGAAAGCGTTCTCACCCAATAGCAGACCTTCAAAAACCAATGCAGACCATTACCACACCCATTGCGAGATGCGCCGCTGCTTCCTTACCAGGCTTTCTCCCCCTTCCTTCAGAGATGTTCTCCGCCTCGTTGATCAGCTCTAGAGCCGCATGTGAAGGCGGCTGCGCCTGTCAACAGGATGGGACGTTTCCTGATGAGTCCTGAAGGCACTGAGCGACTCGCCGCCAAAGATCAGACGAGGAGTGATAACCATAAACTTTAATAGTAATAAGGATCTTAGGTACTGGAAGTACTCAATCTCTCGGCTTAACCAACACTAAAACCCTAAGGACAAATGACCTGCTCCGCACCCGAACCCACCCTAACCACCAAACTAACCCCACCCGTACTCGTGTACCTTAAGTTCCTTATTACTATTAAAGTTTATCCCTATCGAGGAGTGGCGCAACCCAGCATGCACAGCATGACCTTGACAATTTTCACGCGCGTTCATGGAAGACACGGACCTGGTAAGCGCGCGCGGCGTACGGTGTCCGGCCGCGCGGCTGTAATGACGTCAAGCTGCCGGCGTGCCAGGTGACGGTGTCCGACTGCTCAATGCTCATACTTGGCTGTCTTAGGCGCGCCTTTGCGAGGAGTGCCAGGCCATGGCTTGATCCGGCCGAGCTTGACTCTGCGCAGCTTCAAGTCGAATCTGCAGACATTGCACCAAGCAAGCTTGCTTCTTCTGCTTATCGGTCCGAGATGATCGGTCCATGCGCGTGTGCGTGCACTCAGTACGAATCTGCAACATTGCGGCACTTCGAGAGCAAAGCTTCCATGCACGCGGGCCTTACTCATGCGCGCTTGTCAGATAGCGGCAGAAGCCGCAACAATCTCAATGTCGAAGTACCAGGGAAGTACCTACAGCGTCTCAAGTCGAATGATGCAGAAAGGCCCTCGGATTTTGTTCCACACATTTGCAGCAGGGCTTCGTAGTTGATGACGTTAGTGCTAGATCAGCTCTTGACTTTCAAAGACAAACTTCTCATGCATTCTGTTCGAGTCACAACTTAGAAGGCTACCACGAGCCGCGAAGACAATCATCTGTCTGGTATGCGGGAACCCGTCGAAAGCCTGGGGTGTGTTTGACTTCGACGTTCTTGCGTCTGTGCAGCAACTCCGGGCCTCCAAGCTAAGCTGACGACCACTCTCTTGAATACAAGCGGCTCTGCATTGGGTGCTTGACCGTTCATGACTACGTCGGCTGCTTGATCTGCTTGTGCGTCATTCTGCGCACGTTTGAAGATACTTGACTTCTTTCCAGTCAACGCCATGCACCGAAGAACAGGCAGCGCAGAATCTCCCCCTAACTTCAAAAGCTGGTCACCAGATGCAGGTGCCTTACCGATGTATCGAAGTCTCTTGACGCTCTTGCAGGCTTTTCCTCATTAACGAGAGGTCAAACCATTTCTTTGCCTAGGTTGAAGAGCTTTGACCTTCCTTTAAGGGAATGGACCGTCATCTTAGGCCAATCACAAAATCTAGAATGGGACGGAGCCCTGATCTACCTTGTGTTGCAATTCTGATCTTCCAACCACCGGAAAGCACAGCTTTGAAGTTCTCGCCCACAAGAATCACAAGAATTCGTTTCTCATCCTGAAACGAAAAGCTCCAAGGTAGAAGCCCTTCGCTTCCAGCAGCAGCCCCTTGTACCTGCGCAGTGGCTTTCCTGTGCCTGTCGCCCTGCATTGGCTCCCCGTCATTTCAAGACTTTGCGCCGCTTGAGCTTTCCGCCTCATCATCCACCCACTTGCTCGTGACTAGAGTCTATCCTCCAACATGGCTGAAAAGGTCTTCCTCGCTCTGTTCGGGCTGCTGCTGCTCTCCACCCTGACGACTCGGGTAAGTTCCCCTCCATTTTGCAAAAGGCGGTTTTCCTACTTCTAATCGATCCCTCTTCGTTTCCTTCGTTTCAGCTTCGAATTACTGCTGAATCTGGACGTTCTACAAAAAGCACTTCCGTCTCCGTGCAGATTGAGTGGAAAAATTGCACCATTTTCTGTGAGATGCTGGTGCTGGTTGTCTCTCTGCGTCCTGTCACTGGATTCTAAGGTACTGCATTCGTAAGGATTGAGTCGATGCTAGGCACGCCTTTCCCAACCGGAATCATGTGATTTCATGTGTCTACAATTAAGATCTTCAAACGAGGGATCTTCTGAATGATGTCCCTATTTGAGCACAATTGCAACTGCCTCCTCGTGACGACATTTATCTCAGTTCTTCTTGGTCGCTAACTTCTTTCTGATTTTCTCGCTCGACCATAAAGCCCAACCGTCTCCCACTTCAATGCTTCTAAAAGAACTCGCAGATGAACACAGAATTGCTTCTCTTTGTCGAAGCCCGAAATCCTGGCACACCTGCCTACCATTATTCTGTCTGAAGATCCCGGACATGACAGGACAACTTGTCCTTTCTTTTCTAGTGTCTCGCCGATGGCAGCACCAGCGGGGGTCAAGTCAACAACCAGGATGCTTTGGCGCTCCTCCAACTGGTCAAGAACGGACACATTGACCAGGCACAGACAGGTGAGCTTGAGACACCATTGAGGGTACTGAGTCCTGGCTAAATCTGTTATGCAGTTTTAAGAATTGAGTCCTCCGATGCTGATCAGCAGTTTATACTTCAAGCAGATTCCACCTACGTCTGGCGGCGACGGCCACTTGAGTGGGAAACTGTCTTCCTTCCCTTGCTTGTTTTCTGCCTGGAAAACCTTTCTTCTTTCGTACGACTGAAGTTTCTGTCTTTGTGCAGCTCTCAACCAGATGGGCTTCGGAAACAAAGGCTCTCAGACGAATAATCAGGCCCTTCAGGCGCTTATTCAAGGGTCCAACACCGCCAGCATCGAACAGGCCCAGGCGGGTGAGAAGGGACCAGCACGAGCGCTCCCTTTCTGGAGAGCCGAGTCGTTGACTAGATTTGACTACGTCTGAGAAACACTCACCGTCTCTTTTGTCCTCATTCTCTTTCGTGGCTTGTCCCTGTCTTATGAACCACTCATTCGCTGGTCCGCGCAACCTCATGAATATGAGCACCAACATTTGCGCTATGCTTTTCGGGTGAGGGATATTTGTAGGTCTGAAACGGTTGCGATCTTTCTGTTTTGCAGCCTTGAACCAGATGGGCCCCCAGGGTTCCGGCCACAAAGGCTCCGGTTCTCAGACCAACAACCAGGGGGCTCAGGGGATCATCCAGGACTCGTCGGGACCCGCTTCCGTAGCGCAAGGCCAAGTCGGTGAGAAGGCTTGTCTCCACTTCTCATGACCTGACAAGAAAATCTGCTCCAATTAAGCAAACTTGTTGATGCTTATATTTGGATAGCGGCCCCGTCCTGAGGCAGTATTTCTTGGGTGTGATGAGCCGTGTCGGTTGGCTGCAGCTTCCAACATGCGGGATCAGGTGAACAACCAGGGGGCGCAGGCCATTGTTCAAGACGGCAATGCGGCGATCGCGCAAGCGCAGGCCGGTGAGACATCCCACGTCACCTTGATGCGCTGAGGAACTTGCTCCGGTTCGGCGGAGAGTCCGCTCTCGGTTGTTCATCTAATTCAACGCTTGCCGAACTCTCTGCATGCTGACCTCGCCTTTCTCTGGCAACCTCCCAAAAAATGCTGGTCTTCAAGAACAGGATTGCGGCTCTTGGCAATTCATTTTTGAAGAGTCCCGCTGCCACTCACCAAAGCGCCTGGTCTCGAGAACGAAAGCTCCGCACCTGCATGCAACCTTTGTCCCGATACTCTTCTTTTTGTTTTTCAGCACTGAACCAACTGAAAGGCAACACCGGCAGCCAGACCAACAACCAGGCGGAGCAGGCCATTATCCAGGGAGGCAAGGGCGCGACGGTCGCCCAGGGACAGACGGGTGCGGCTTTTCTTGTGCCACGTGTCCTTCCTTTTGTTTCCATCATATGTGGTCGTCAAAACCCTTGCGCATGAATCTCCGATTACTTCGTTTTCTGGAGATTATCCTGAGATTGGTCAGGTACCGACGAAAGCGTTTTGAGTGGTCAGAGCCTGTGTTGCTCTGCCTCAGCGCAGGTTAGAAAGGATTCCGATCCATCTATCGTTGCGTAGTAAGTCTCGCTTCCATTGACACTCCTGAGATCATCAGGGGCGCTATTGACTTATTCAGAACCGGGTCGCTTCTCTTGCAGGCGCGAACCAAGCGAATGGAGCAGGATCTCAGACCAACAACCAGGCGGAGCAAGCAATCATCCAGGGGTCTAAGGACTCCGCCGTTCTCCAGGCCCAGGCAGGTAAGACACAGAGCTAGGTCGATCCTAGAAACTTTTCTTGGGCTGTCTCAGAAGAAGAAAGGTATTTTGCGGAAGAAGGAAGCAAAACGAAGACTTTGTCGACGCACTGGTTCTTCGTATCCAGCATAATGAACGGGAATTTTAGGGCCTTTCGAATGCTGCAAGCTTCGTAAGTTTAGTCCAAAGGACTGCATTCTTCTGCATGACCTACTGATTATTCATATCCGTAGCCCACAAATGAGAAGTTTTCTCTGCGATGCTCTTGCAGCTCTCAATGCGGCGGGCGGCAAGGGTGGGTCCCAGACAAACAACCAGGGTGCCCAGGGAGTCATCCAGGGATCCCCCGGTTCGACGGTCGCTCAAGGCCAGAGCGGTGAGAAACTTAAGGGTTTGCTTCAAGACTTGCACTACATATCAAGCTTCGAGAGATGCATCGCGCTGTAACTGAGAACGGTTCTCCGCATCATTTCTTCTTTTTCTGCATCAGAAATAGATCCGCGGACGCAACCTGGCAAAGAGATGCAATTTGCCGATTCTCTGCATAGACTTGCGGAGATTCGTTGCAGAAATGACGGCTGTCCTTTTTCAAACCTTGCAGCCGCCAACCTGAAGGGCAAGAAGGCGCAGACCAACAACCAGGCAGAGTCCGGGTCCATCCAGGCCGCAGTAAACGCCGCCATCCTGCAGGCCCAGGAAGGTGCGAATCACTCACATCCGTCGACATACCGGTTCTGATGATCGTTTTCCTTTTGTTTTATCCGCAGGACCGTGAGGTTGAATCGTGACACGCTTTGAGCGTCCGTAAGCTTTACTTCAGAAGCCTGTGGACTGAGAGTATTTCGCTCTTTGTAAAATGAGCATCCCTTTCTCGTGACCAGTCTATAAAGCTTCGTTCCGTTTCGCTACGATCCGTTCCGATTCGCCACCCGCTTCGATACTGTCCAGTCGTAAAGTTTCGCACAAAGTCACGAAGAGGAACGATCAGAGTGCGGGACAAGAATGGTTCGCGCTCACCAACCGGGCCTTGCTTTACTTGCGTGCAGCGGCCAACCAGGCGGGCGGTCATGGCTTCCCGGGCAGCCAGACCAACAACCAGGCGGAGCAGGCGAGCATCCAGGGCGCGAAGGGGGCGACCATCGACCAAGCGCAGCTCGGTAAGTTTAACTGGGGTCGGGATCTTCACCGTCTGGCTTCCGCCCGTCCCTTCTTCTTCTTCGCGTCTTTGACAAAGACTTCTGTATGAATCAGATGCTACCAATGCTTGAGAAAGTAGCAATAAGTTAGCAGGCACGAGCGGTTTCCATTCTTTCGCCGAATCTTGATGCTCGTTCATACAATCTCTGACGTGGCCGCACTGCAGCGGTCTTTTTCGGCGCTACTCTCATAAAATTTCCTTGAACACACTTGTGACTTCGTGCTTTAAAACATTGACACGTGCTTACTGCTGACTTCCCACTGTGTCGCGCCCTGTGTGCAGCCGTGAATTCGAAAAGAGACCAGGTGAACAACCAGGCGGAGGCCGCCTCCATCCAGGCAGCCAAGAACGCTGCCATTCTGCAGGCTCAGGCAGGTGAGAATCGTGGCCGAAATTGGAGACTTCATCTTTTTACCGGGCCAGTTCTCATGCAAGAATCTGCATTGGCACGCATAAGTCACGCAGGATTCGCTGGTCGTGAAGCAAGTGCCAGAAGCGACTGCCAGACGTCGACAAAAAGGTTCTCGGTTCGTACACCTGCGGTCGCTGGACTGCTTTCCGTCCAATCCTCTCTTTCTGTAGATTCCCAACATTATCGCTCGCTCTGCTGGCTTGCCGCTCTTACCCATACGCTAGGTCCGGTGCATAATCTGCCCAACGAATACCTGACTCTGTGCTTTGCTTCCGTGCGTGCAGCGCTCAACCAGGCGGGCAAGGGCGTCTCGGGCAGCCAGACCAATAACCAGGCGGAGCAAGCGAGCATCCAGGGCGCGAAGGGGGCGACCATCGGCCAAGGGCAGCTCGGTAAGACGCGTCGAGATTAAAATTCATCCGCTATCAATCTTCATTCCTTTCCTCTTCGACGACAACGCTGACAAGTATCCGACTTCACGACGAAGCATTGAGTCACAGGATGCCGCCTCTAAAACCCTCCGGGTTTTGATACTCCTTGTAATGTCCTTGTTGTGGGGATACTTGCTTGTTCATTTTTTGACCGGAAGAAACGTAAGCAGAGTAGTTAAAGATCATTTCATAGCCCGAAAAAAACTTCGTGGCTTCATCGTGATTGTCCCTGGACTGGTTGCAACTTGCACGCGCCGCACCAACGAGCCAAAGTCCTACTTCTCTGTGCAGCCGTGAATTCTAAGAAGAACCAGCTCAACAACCAGGTGAACAACCAAGCAGAGGCTGCCTCCATCCAGGCAGCCAAGAACGCCGCCATTCTGCAGGCCCAGGCAGGTAGGAAACGACCCCATAATGCAGAAAGGACTGTTCTACAGTCACCGAATCCTTCGATATTGTTGCACACGTACTTTTGCATTGCACGCTGGCCCTGTCAGCAACTGCTAATTGTCTGATAAATCCGCTCGATCCGTCCCTTTGCGGTTGCTGCACATTTCCTGTGTATATATCCTGCCCTTTCAGTCGACTCCCGGAATCGTCGCTCCCGGAAGCGTCGTTCGCTGGCTTCCCGTACTTTCTTGCCCTCTGGTACGATGGAGTGTTGAACGTGTACATTGCTAGCACAGAACTGAAGCCCCGATGCAGCCTTGCTTGCGCCTTTGCAGCGGCCAACCAGGCGGGCAAGGGCGTTCTGGGCAGCCAGACCAACAACCAGGCGGAGCAGGCGAGCATCCAGGGCGCAAAGGGGGCGACAATCGGCCAAGCACAGCTCGGTAAGATAGACTGGGGTCGATGAAAGTCAACGGCTGCCTTTCGCCATTGTTTCTGGTTTATCCGAATTAAGAATGCTACAATGTCAGAAGCTGCTGATGAAGGAGATTGATGAGAGATTTGCTCCGCATGCGCACTTTCGTATCTGTGCTGATTGCCGATCCTCCTTGCCAGAACCCTCAGGTGTCAACTCTTGCAGTCAATTTTGCCAAGAAAACAACACGCTGTTGAGTAATCATTGAGATCGTTTGTAGGTCCGTTTTCTCACTTCGCTCTATCGAGATTTATGCTTGTACTTATCGATTTGCGGACGATCACGTGCTTGTTGCCGGCGCGCCCTGCTTTTGCAGCCGTGAACTCGAAGAAAGACCAGGTCAACAACCAGGGGGAGGCTGCCTCTATCCAGGCAGCAACCAACGCGGCCATTATGCAAGCCCAGGCAGGTGAGAAGTGCGGTCAACATTTCATCGAGTTCATAACATTACCAGTTCACATTTGCAGGCAACCCATAACACACTTACAACAACCTCGCTGACATGGTGTAAAACATTCTGGCCTTCTCCGTTTCGTTTCCTTTTGCGTTTTTGCATTCGCGCACAGACCTTCCGCTTCAACAGACGTCTTAGCCCCTTTTTCCTCCTCACCATACATTTGCTTCCACTTGCTCTGTAAATCACTTTCATTGTTTTCGTCTTCTTGAGACTCACCGGAAAAAGGCATTCAGAATACTGTATATATCAAGCTGCTGACTGTGCTCCCTTCCGTCCGTGCAGCGCTCAACCAGGCGGGCGGCAAAGGCGCCCGGGGCAGCCAGACCAACAACCAGGCGGAGCAGGCGAGCATCCAGGGCGCGAAACAGGCGGCCATCGGCCAAGCACAGCTCGGTGAGGGCCGCTTGGAACTCTTGGAGGTCTTTGCACCTTCTTTCTGCATCTATAGCATGACAGTCTGTATTCCGTGCAAAGAATGGCTCTGTGCCAATCATTTTTGAGTAACATCGTGCTCGCTTGAGTCGAAGCCGTTCCAGCCGAAAACTTGTGAACTCTGCCTCCAGCCTAATGCTATTTGTCTACGGAGTCTCTTGCAAAATTCGCCCCAGTTTGGGGGCCCTTATCGGCTCCGCTGTTATTCCCTGTCGTTCTCAAGTTCTCTTCCCGAATGCGTCCTCTTTGCCACGTCCACTTTCATTCTCGTCAACCTTTCCGGTGGGAGCAAAGCTCAGAACGGAGTCGAAGCTTCCACAACGGTCTCAGCGAAGTCTCTTGCTGGCGTTCGTGCAGCGGCCAATCAGGCGGGTGGTAAGCACGCCAAAGGCAGCCAGACCAACAACCAGGAGGAGCAGGCGAGCATCCAGGGCTCGAAGGGGGCGACCATCGACCAAGCTCAGGCCGGTGAGCTTGACTGGGTTTGCAGATTGGTCGCATAATCAGCTTTCGTTGCACTCTTCCAAGGAAGATTCAATCGGCACCGCTTTTTATGAAGCCGCCCATCATTCATGTCTGTCGCTTGGAAGGGACATCTTCCAAGACTTGTCTGCCTCTGTCAAACGTTGGTCGTCATCGTTTTCTGTTATTCACGGTTCCTATATTTTCGAAGCTGTGCGTTGAGAGCAGTACAGATGAAGCAGCGCGTACCCTGTAGCCCAGATATGTCACCTAATGCCTTGCAATTGTCCGATGAATCTTTGATTCCCCGAGCTTCTGCAGCTCGTGTGATCATCAGAAAACCGTGTTGGGCGACTCTGTATTGACCTTGTTGCAGCAAAGACCATATGGTTCGCGGACGTCCGTTACTTCGGGGTGTCCTCCATGGTTAGAAAACCTGGCGTCCTCGATGTAACCGTCTTTTTTGAGCAAAAGTGCGCTTGTCAGTACGGCACTTCGTGGCTTGTCTTGTTCTGATGCTTCGCGATTGCTGTGCAGCGTCCAACTCGAACGGTGGAAGGCGGCTGCAGGCCTTCGGAGGCTACAATACCGACGCTTATCTGGGTGAGGTTCTCAGGGCGCCGTCGGAAAGGCGTGTTCTCTGGTTTGCGGCTTCCGCTTTTGGCAGCACCTCTCCATGTTGAATCGTGCTTTTTATGCATGTTCAGAGCGCTGAGAAGAGTCGAGCAAAGCGTCCTCGTTACAAAACGACTCTTGTGAGATGTAATCAATGAAGCGTGTGCCACGTACCCTGGTTGGCAGCATAAGCGCAGCTTTGAGACCTCGCAATGTTCACGACCTCTAGATACTGTGAAGTCCTTCCATTCTCACTGGCATTTGCGATTGCCTTACAAGGCGCCGTTCAATCTCTGTTTTCTCAACTGACCTTTTCATTTCTCCCGACAGCTGCGACCATCAAGGGATCCCGCAAGCTTCTCGTAAATCAGTAGAGGGGACGGCGTCAAGATACGAACTGGCTTTGGCTGATCAATGGAAGGTCTGAGAGCTAACCACGTAGACGGAGTAGTAGATAGGGGCCGTCCCTTTCGTAGCAATCAGTAGCTGATGCTTGATTCACAAGTTATCGACCAGACCCTTAGGAGTGAGTGGGATTGAAAGGTCTGCTGACGTCCAGATGAGGATCGATACGTTACAACTGATTCGGAGCTGATTGACTAGCGGGACAACCCTGTGAAGGCAGGACAACTATTGAACGCCTGGTCTCAGCACACCTCGATTAAGATGTTTCGTATGAAAACGTCACCGTCTCGTTCATATCTCAAATCGTTGAAAGAACTTCGGTGCCTTACCTTTGTGTCAGAACTCGTGTAAAGACCCGTTCACATTCGTCTGCATCTATCTGCTTGTGTACTTCAGTACCAGAAGACGTGTTGCTTCTTCGTTTTATGGTAGCAATGATGTAAGCTTTTGAGAGCGATGCTGCAGTAGTGACAGTGCTTCATATACAATCGACCTTTGTGGAAGCACATGTTCGATATAGATGCATGCGACCATCTAGCATGGCATGGTATGCAAAGCACAGCAGCCGCCGGCTGCGTATATGTATGACAAAGTCCTCGCGGATTGAATAAACTCGAGACCGACGGCGACCGTCATGCCGCAGTTCATTGAGCTAGCCGGCGCCAGCCCCAGCCAAGAGTCATCTCTTTACATGTGCACTGATGCTCATTGACCTGGTTGTGTCCGAGTGGCCGTCACAACAATGATCCGCAAATTGAGCTAGCTGGCTCTTCGACATACAATGATGTGTGTGCATAAGTCCATCCCTGGCCCGTCGCCATGCAGGGCCGGCGGCCTTGTATCCAAATTATGATCAGACCCGAACAACGACTGGGGCCCGGGCCGAACCATCCATGATTGTATAATCCAGCTAGCCGCTTCAAAGCGCGGTTATGCAGATATGTTCTTGACCAAGACGGTCGCTTTCAAACCATGTGATCAGGACAGCGTATACGGGCTATAAATGGCGAACTGTTTGAAGCTGCCCGATCCATGTCAGGAGCAATCAGATGGACATGGCACGGGAAGGTCGGCTTGCGCGTGGCAGGATTGGCCGGCCAACAGATGGCATCTGCTCTTTCACTGACACGGAGTACTCAGCTTCCGATAGTTTCTTCAATCGGATCGTTGCGTATCAAGAAGCTGGCCAGCTGACGTGGTGCTGTCCCTTAGGCCCACTTTCCGTTTTTCATTGTCTACCACGTCCTCCCACGCCTTCCACACCGCATCTGCCTGCGCCCGCGCATATTCCCGGATCTGCGACTCCACCCGATCAATCTGAAAGTGCATCGTATCATCCAAACCCTCGTAGTCCCCTTGCAGCTCCTTCACATACTGCCGCACAAATTCGTTTACGATGCCCTCCTCCCACGCCGGATCCTCAACGATTATAAAGTCCCTCTCGCCCTCATTGTTCCCCGCTTCCAGCACCCCTTCTACATACATGTCCTCTTTGTCCTTCTTGATTTTCTGTTTGGCCAAGTCCAGCGGACTCAGCCTCTTCCCTCCGCTCCCTTTCCCCTCTAACTCTCTGTCTGCAAACCTCCCCCCCCGGGACGCCCCCTCTTCGCCTGCCGTCGCGAGTTTTGCCGCTAGCTGCGCCGCAGCTTTGCTGACAACCTTGTCTTCCGGTGAATACAGAGGGTCTTGACCGAGCGCCTTGGCCCGCTTGGCCATGGCTGCGCTCACAACTTCCAACCGCTTGCGCCCCTCCTCCACAGCCAGCGCAACCTGCAACATGCTCTTCTGAGATGTTTCTGAAGAGGGAGCGGTGGCGATGATTTTTGTAATTCTTGCTTTCGTAGGAACTAGGATCCATGTTTGAGAACCAGATTTTTTGGGACGGGGGATGGGAACCAATACAAACAGTGATGCTGTCGGCCAGACTTTCAGGGTCACTAGCGCGTCTCTCAAACCCCACAGACTCCATCTGGTTCTCAAAATGCAAAATATTAAAAAGCCTGCTTTCTCTGTCGTTAGGAATAGAAACAGTAGCAAAGATTCAGTGGACATTTGGACTGTCAAGAACTGGACAAGCTGAAATCAGGCCTTGGAAGAGAACCCCCAAATTCATAGAAGTTTCGAAAGCGTCAGGCAATCAACATGAAATCCTCAGAAGATGCTTCTGATCAGATACATGTGCCTTCTCACAACGTTGCTCTGACAGTGAAAGGTGAATGTCAGAGGCATGCCCAGGGCTTGAAGTCGGCGCAACCGGTATATTTGAAATGTACGACCCAGGACAATTCATGTAGCTTTGAAGGGATTTGCCATCTTTCAAAAACCATTCATGTCTAGGGGGTCTCACCTTGGATGTTGCCTTATTTCCAAACCAACGTCTGAAAAGACTATTTGAATCGCCCTGCCCTGGAAGCCGCTCTTGGAAGGGGTCTATCCAACTATCCTGTGCTAGCCTCCGCCCCTTAAGAGCTGGTCGGATTGTCCTGTCATCACTTCGCCAACGACCTTCATCTTCATCCCTGGTTCCATCTGTCCAACTTTCTCCTAGATCAGCAGAATGGAAACAAAGTGCTGTGCTTGAGAGGATGACGAGTAGAAGAGTAGCTCTTGGAAGTAGTGGAAGTGCCATATTTTGACGCCAAAGATTCTAGTGCTCCAGAATCTCAAGCACGACCCTCATGAAGCAAAACATCAGTTCAGCTCCGTTGAGCTTCGGGGCCGGAAAACACACAAGTGCAGGCTGCAGCTGATCCCTGTAGCCTGATCAACATTACCAAAAGGTTAGCTCAAACCTCCGACTATTGGCCTAGAATCCTCTCCTGTGACCCAAGAAACCCTGCCGCCTCATACTACCGGTATTCTAAGAATCTTTTCGTGTGTTTCTGGCGGACGTGCCAAAGGTTTGTACTCTTGAAACCTGACCCAAAAACCCACCCAACAAGGGGAGCTCTCAAGCACCTCTCAAGTCAGACTCATAGCGCTTCTAGGGTCACCGTTCAAGTTGTTGCCAATGGCGGATGCAAAATGTCGAACCCCGGCAGTTTTGTCAGGCCTTTCGTCAGCTTTGACGCTGCAGGGGATTGCTTTGTAGACACTGAGGAGATTGGTCCCGACAACCAGCGCCTATACTTGGACACAAACGTGGTTTCAAAAGTCTTGACAGAAAGAGGAAACCGCCAAATCTTGCAAGAATTTGCCTGGAGAGCTGCAGACCGTCTCCAAGTCTTTATCCCTCCCACAGTTGTCTGGGAGTTCTCAAGGACACCAGGATTTCCCTGGGGGATTCCGGACGACTTCATCCCTGCTGTGGAGGGATACGACGAGCAAGTGGTGGATTCTGTTGTGGAAGACCTTTTTGCCAAGGTTGACGCTGTCGAAGAGAATTTTGAGGATTGGGTAAGGATTGAACTTCTTAATTGCCTTTTGGCGCAGTTTACACAAATTCGCAGCTGCATGACTTCAGAGAAAAATTTCTATGCATTGGTGCTCCATTTTGAGCAACCTAAGGAGCATAGACCTTGCAGCCTGACTGACCTTCCCCCTCCTCATCCGCCTACTGCAGGGGACAGATCTGAAGGATCTAAAGATTTATGTAGAGGCGTGCTTGCACCTGAGGTGTCAATCTTCACAAGTAGCAATTCCAATCCTGGAGTTGGTTCCCCTATTCTTCACGGCTGATCGGGGCTTTGAAAGACTCGCATTGAACGACTTCCAAGTTCGAGAGCAGATGGAAGAAGTCTTTGGACAGCATGGTTTAGACACCATGGACATTGTGACCCCCTGGGATCTGCATCTGCCCTACTGAGTTAGGCAGCATACAAAATGCCACCCCATGGTCCTCAAATGAAGGCTTGATTACCTCTTAACAATGTCAAAGGTTTCATTCCATAAGGTGCAAGTTTTATTGCCACCATACATCTCTTTTTTTGCCAGAGCACTCTGCGGTGAAGCTGACCCCCATTTGGTCTGACCTCTGCAGACTACAAACATGATGGAGCACAGTTCTTGGTTCGAAACGAGGCGTGCAGAGCAGGTTGTCTTCGTTACTCGCGCATTAAAAAGGAAGCAGGAAGAAGGGTAAGCTTTTTGTCTCTTAGGGAGTTCACTTTATTGTTGCTTTTGTGAGCATCTATGATTCTCTGCCGGTGCCTTGCTCTCTGCATAGAGTTCTTTGAGCAAGTAAGGTTGCCTGACTGGAGTGGGGTTATCTGCTATTACAGTTGAACCGCGTGCTTTTAAAGAAATCTGATGGATTTTTTCTGCATGCAGTGAGCTGCCACCTGAGAGGCGTGCCAAAATCCCCAAGGTGCACTTTGTGTGCGATGCTGCGGCTGTAGACTTCATGCAGAAGTAAGTCTCCACACTGCTTCTTAATACAGACACAAAAGAGGTTCAAACGAATGTATATTGCTGACTCTGCACATCCAATTGTCACAGCTTCAACCTCGTGTGTTTCTCGTCATCCTTTGCCAAGCTTTCAGGTTCCAGCTCACTTGGACTTGTTTCTTTCTCCAGCGCCGCTCCAGACAGTGCAGCCGGTCAGTTGTACCAAGATCATCAGACCTATGCGGCCTACTCCAGCGTGAAAACCCGGCTAAAGTGCTGGCCAGCTCCCGGAATCGTCTCACGGGATGAGGAGCTGATCAAGGAGATCAATAGCCTCCCCACAGGACCCCAGGTCAGAGACCTGGATTCGTGGATAATGTCTGCTGAGTTGGATAAACTGCCTGGAAGTGTTCCAAGCTTTTCCAAAATGAGATGGGATATAAGACTGGCAATTATAAAGAGCGCTGCAGAGCAAGCTCTTGCAACATCGGTTCAGCCACTGTTGGACCTGTCTAGATTCCAATTCAGTCCATCAATACCTCTATGCAACGTGCGGCCTTCGTGTGCAGCTTATGTCCTCTCTACAAACCTTCCTGACTGCGTGCGAACATGTACCGGAACTGGTGAAGAAGCACCGTGTATTCGTCACCGGGGACAGGGCCTTTTTTGCATTGCTGCAAGGAAAAGGGACGAAGGAAAAGTTAGATGACATGATCAACAGGGCGGGTGGTGGCTGCGCTGTGAAGTACATCTGCTTTGTCCCCAATATGCGTGAGTTGCTTTGCTCATCCTGCGTGTCCCAACAACTCTGTGTTTACTTTTTGTTTGGCCTTCAGGAGCCTTGGGTATCTATCTGTATCTGCATCATTGCTGCTGCTATTCTCCAAAATGGTCCTAGTTGTGCAATTGTTTTAGTTTGTGTACTTCAATCTTCTGTTGGCATTTACTCTGGAAGCGGTGAATGCTTTGTGCTATATGTGTACTGACATAACGTGTTTTTTGTGCAGCACGAGTTTGGGAGCTGCCTCTGCTCCAGGATCCCTCGTCTTTTGGCGTCTTGGAAGGCTCCAACCTGCAGGCAGCCCCAGAAGGTTGCCTTCAACTTTCTTGCCCAATCACCTTATTGGAACCCTAACTCGTCCGTCGTAATTTGCTTTTAGGAGGTCACAAGAGAATTCTCTTTGCTTCGGCAGAATGCTTGAAGCCTTTTTTTTCACCATTGAAATCTCGTTGCCTGCTTGCCAAAGCACTCCCTCTTCTTTCCGGTCCTGTCGGACTGACCAAATGTACACACCTGAATCATGACGACATGAAGTTCTGTACATGCCAAGCAGCTGATCTGTGCTCCCCTCCGTCTGTGCAGCGCTCAACGAGGCCGGCAACGGCGTCCGGGGCAGCCAGACCAACCCCCAGGAGCGAGCGGGCATCCAGGAAGCGAACATTGACCAAGCAAAGCTCGGTAAGGATAAACCAGCATAGGAGGCTCACCTGGCTGTCTTTCGTCCGTTTCCTTACAATGTCTCCGGGTCTCAAAACGAAATAGCGATCCATGCACGGAGCGAAGAACGTTTTGATACAAAGAGAGTTTCTTGATTCATTTTCAAATCCCGCCTCTCACTGATAAAATCCTGCTCAGGAGTTCTCGTGCTATGTTGTCTGCAAGCAGAAATTATCTTGCTGCATACCTGTAGATTCTTTGTAGGTTACTGACTGTACTCTTATAGCTTGGTTACTGACTGTACTCTCGTAGCTTTATGGCATTCGTCCTGTGCGTTTTCGAAAAGGTTTGCAAATTTGCACGCGCCGATGCAAACGTCTCGAAATCGCGCCCTGTTGTGCAGCCGATGATCCAAAAAAAAAGACCAGTTGAATGGCCAGGGAGAGTCTGCTTCCATCCAGGCAGCCAAGAACGCCGCCATTCTGCAGGCCTCGGCAGGTGAGAGTCGTGGCCGAAATAACGGATCGGATCCGTCTACTGGGCCCAAACCTCCTGCACGGTTTCATGCAGGCCCTGTCAGCAACAGCTAGATGCCGAAGGACGTTTCCCCAAATGTATACCTGCGTTTGCTGTACTGCATTTGGCTTTTGGTTCTTCCTTAAGAACACATTGTTTGTTGGCTTATCGCTCTTTTCCATTTGCTTTCGTTCGGTGGAAAGTGGATTATCGTATGGCCTGGATCGCACAGCCTTGATGTGGCCTTGCTTCCGTGCGTGCAGCGCTCAACCAGGCGGGCAAGGGCGTCCGGGGCAGCCAGCCCAAGCACCAGGAGGAGCAGGCTAGCATCCAGGGCGCAGAGGGGCCGACCATCAAGCAAGCGTAGATGGGTGAGAGGTGTCGAGACTGAGATTCTCCACCGGCTGTCTTCGTCCATTGCTTCCCGTTCGACAACAGTTGCTGACAAGAATCCGCAACAACTAAGCATACATGGTGGACATGCTGAAGCATTGATCCATACTTTTCTTTGCGGGTTCGTGATGCTGGTCGGTCAGTACATGAGGAAACTCCTCTTTGTGCCGTCAAGCGAAAAAAACAATCGGAGAACTTGGGAGCCTCCCTAGCTCTTTCACTTCATCGAGATCCGTGGTGCTTTCTCCCGACTGAATCGGGTTTCCAGGCGCCATGTGCTGATGGTTATCTTGTCGCGTCCTGCTGTGCCTGAGCAGCCGTGAACCCGAACAACAACCACGTGGAGGCGACCTCCGTCCAGGCAGCCAAGAACGCCGCCATTCTGCTGGCCGCAACAGGTGAGAGTCGTGGCCGAAATAACGGATCGGATCCGTCTACTGGGCCCAAACCTCCTGCACGGTTTCATGCAGGCCCTGTCAGTAACAGCTAGATGTCGAAGGACGTTTCCCCAAATGTACACCTGCGGTTGCTGTAGTGCCTTTGGCTTTCGGTTCTTCTTTGAGATCTCATTGTCTGTTGGCTTATCGCTCTTTTCCGTTGCTTTCGTCCGGTGGAAAGTGGATCAACTAATGGCCTGGATCACACAGCCGTGATGTGGCCTTGCTTCCGTATGTGCAGCGCTCAACCAGGCGAGCAAGGGCGTCCGGGGCAGCCTGGCCAACAACCGGGCGGTGCAAGCGAGCACCCCGGGCTCGAGCGGGGCGACCAAGGGCGCGAATGGGGCGACCACTGACCGAGCGCAGCTCGGTGAGAACCACTTCGAAGAAATTTCTGCCTTCTTTTTGCATCCAGATCCTTTAGATTCTGTGCCAAAAATGGTACTTGACAGGTGCCGTTCCGGCGACAAGCTCTGTGCAGTCTGCCTGAATTGAGTGCTCCTTGCCGTTCTTAAGTTTCAATTTTCTTCGCGAGTAAATATTGTGCTCCAATTCGGCGGCCGTTCTCAGTCACCCCTCTCCTTTTTTTCCGTGCATTTTTCCATCCCGGTTCCATCCTCTTGGTCCCATACGGTTTACCTTTTTTGCCAACCGTTTCCGGTGAAAGCAAGAGCTAGGAACGGGTTTGATGCTTTGACAACGGCCTCAGCAAAGTCTTCTGGCTTGCTTTCCTACAGCGGCGGATCGGGCGGGTGTTAAGCGCGCCAACGGCAGCCAGGCCAACAACCGGGCGGTGCAAGCGAGCATCCCGGGCTCGAGCGGGGCGACCAAGGGCGCGAATGGGGCGACCACTGACCGAGCGCAGCTCGGTGAGAACCACTTCGAAGAAATTTCTGCGTTCTTTTTGCATCCAGATCCTTTAAATTCTGTGCCAAAAATGGTACTTGACAGGTGCCATTCCGGCGACAAGCTCTGTGCAGTCTGCCTGAATTGAGTGCTCCTTGCCGTTTTTAAGTTTCAATTTCCTTCGCGAGTAATTATTGTGCTCCACTTCGGCGGCCGTTCTCAGTCACCCCTCTCCTTTTTTTTCGTGCATGTTTCCATCCCGGTTCCATCCTCTTGGTCCCATACGGTTTACCTTTATTGCCAACCGTTTCCGGTGAAAGCAAGAGCTAGGAACGGGTTTGATGCTTTGACAACGGCCTCAGCAATTTCTTCTGGCTTCCTTTCCTACAGCGGCCAATCAGGCGGGTGTTAAGCGCGCCAACGGCAGCCAGGCCAACAACCGGGCGGTGCAAGCGAGCATCCCGGGCTTGAGCGGGGCGGGCGCGAATGGGGCGACCACTGACCGAGCGCAGCTCGGTGAGAATCACTTCGAAGAAATTCTGCGTTCTTTTTGCATCCAGATCCTTTATTCTGTGCCAAAAAAGGTACTTGACAGGTGCCGTTCCGGCGACAAGCTCTGTGCAGTCTGCCTGACTTTGATCTCTTACGATATGGAACGGCTCGTCTAAGATGTGCGTGCTAATTCATATGCCACATGCCTTGGTTGGCAGCATGATTGCAGCTTTGAAACCTTACGCTGGTCATGAACCCTAACATTTGCAGCAGCATTTACCTTCTGTGGCATCGCCTTGTTGTTTGAAAGCTGATGTATTCTGTAAACGAATCCTCGCTTTTCTTTTCGACAGCGGCCACAATCAAAGGATCGCAAGCTTCTCAGAGGTCAGTAGAGGGGACCCGTTAGGCTACGAACTGACGCCGCTGATTCTCTGAAGAAGGGAAAGCTAACATAGACGCATTAGCGGACACGGGCGGTCAGTTTTGTAGCATCTAGTAGCTGTTACCTTTGTACAGACTATTGACAGAAGGAAAAATGAGTGGGAATGAATGGTCTGCTGACGTCCAGATGAGGCTCATACGTTACGTGTGGTTTGGAGCTGAATGTTTAGCGAGACAGGACTGTCCAGGCGGGGACAACTTTGGAACGCATGGTGCGAGCCGCCACATCTCGTTCGAAAAGTTTCCATAAGATCGTCACTCTTTCAGATGCTCAAACCTGTGAAAGCACTTTGACACTGGTCTTGCCTTTTTTTCCAAAGTTCTTCAAACGACCCATTTATACTTTTGTGCAACCATCATCTTGTGTTCTTGAATCACTTAAGATGTTTGATGCCTTGATTCAAAGTAGTGGTCACAAAATCTACAAGAGCAGTTTTGCAAAATGGCAAATGATGGTGATTCATTGTATGTCGGATCAAGTTCTGCAATTTTTGTCGTGGCACATGCATCACGTTTAATTAGCTAGCGCTTACATGAAACTGTTGCAGACCAGTACAATTGATGCAAGCTCCGATATGCATGAGATAATTGTGCCGCGGCAATTATGGCATGCGCAATTAGATCGCAATGCCTGGCAAGTGCCATGGCTTGTACGTATGCATGTGCGTGCAATTGGATTTCCAACGCTCACTATATACCTGCACCATGAACGGACCATGCATGCAATAATATCCATCGATTCGACGAACGGAATATATGTCGAGGCAGCAATTTGGCACATGGTTGCATGTGCCTATAGTCGGACAGCAGAGCTGCACAGCACTGAGCGGCCGGCCGTGTCATGCAGACGGTGGCAATTAAGTAACGTCATGCATGTTAGTTAAGGTCGAACTTGCCTAATTCGACGATTTCAAAACCCCAATGCCGTGGGACGATGATCATGAAGACGTCTTTGACGTCTTCATGCATATCTCATGCTTCGCTCCATCTTTTTGAGATCCGTCTTTTGCACATGAAAGGATACATCGAAAGGAAGCCGCAAAGCCTTAGTCGGCAAAAATCAATAGCTCTAAATGCCTGCCATGACGTGGCCAAAACATGCATTTCTGGGCGTTTTCATTAGCGAAAATTCGGGATTTAGCCTAGGCCGGGTAACCCGTCGGCGGCCGCGCGGCGCGCCCAGGCAAATTGGCTGGCGCGACCGCGTAACCGGTGATGTCAGCACACCCCGGAAGTAAAGAGCAGGCTTGAGAGTACGGAACTCCAGGACCTTTCTGCACCAGCCACGTTGCAACCGTATCACACGAGAGGCAGCGTGCGAACGATATTTCAAATCTTTCACACGTGTTGCCGCTATAATTGGTGCCACGTTGGCATACATTGCTCACCCATCAGTCATACAGTGAGTTCAATCTACCCTGGTGTTTTGCAGGCCTGCTGGGGCCTTGTTCGCGCGTAGGTACCCAGGCTCCAGGGCAGTTTTGCTACAGATCGTGTATTGCGAAGGCCTATGTTGCCCATAGCACTGCAAATTCTGTGTACGGGCTACAACACCACTCAAGAGAGTGAAGAAGAAGCTGAATTCACCTCTTCAAGTTCAAGTTCACTGAGTTCCAAGTTCAACGGAGGAGCTATTTGGACACCATGGAAGCGATGACTCTACCATTGCGGTGTCCCATTTGCTGCAGGTCCGAGACAGCTTTTGCTGGCTACAAGATTCATCAGAGGCCTTCAGAGGCCTTCAGTGACTTTCATCAGTCACGGATTGAACGGCATGCATGTTGCAGTGGGGCCTGAAGAGTTGGAGAGCGCACTAAGCATTTCTGCTAGGTGAGCTTGCTGTCTGCTGTTCTGTTTCGCCGTCGATTGCGCAAATCGGCGAGCTGAGCTGTCAGTAGGAGGTTACGGTCACGTGGCTTTTTCGAATTTCAAAATTCAAACCTCTGAATTGAGAAGATGAAGGGTCAAGCGCCTATGGGTAAACCAGATTTAAGTATTTCATATATGCAGCTGGTTACTTTAGTCGCTGGCATCATCCTCGGACTATTTCTGCTGCCAGTTTCTGCTTACCACTGTCCACACACTTTATTTACGAGAGAGCTGCCACCTTACGAGCAACGATTGCGCACTACAGAAATCTGTGAACTCCAACTTCTGCTCACTGTAGATTGCATATTACTGGCAGCCGCAGTATCTTTCTGGAACGCCTCTCCTGCCATGTAGTCTATCAAAATCTAAGATGGCAGGCACCTTGAGAACACCCCTTGGTGGGTTGTGTCCCAATGCTAGTGGTGGTTTTGTAACTAGTGCTCGCATCAGTGTCACAAAAGTTAAGCAGCACGACAGGACCCATCCTATTTTCCTCAACGTTCCACTGGAGTATGCGCCTCTGGAAAGGAGAGGCCAAAGCCTGAGTCTCCATGGACGAAAAAGCGGCAATGCGGAAAAAGGGAAAAAGGCACATTGATCTATTTCTCAACCCCCAACTTTTTCCTCCTCATCCAGTGACTGGCCTCCTGCCTCCAGTCCACAACCTTGTGAGCTACATCAAATGGCTGGGAGATGGCATGGACGGGCTGCTGGGTTACATTGTGGCCCTGCAAATGCAGGCCCAGAATGCGTCAGCACTAGAAAAAGCAGCTGCCCAACAGGAGCTGGCCTCCAAACAGGCCCTCTTGCAGCTGGAGATAGAGCGGGTCCGGCAGGAGGCAGCGGCTGCTGTCAACGCAGCCCTAGGCGAACAACTCTTGACAGGAGGTCGGTTGCAAGCTGCGGAAGATCAGGTGGCTAAGCACGCCGACGCCATGCTGCAGTTCGCAGAGGAAAAGGAGCGAGCATTCCGAGCGGAGGTTGAGAAGTGGCAAGCCCAGCTGGCCTGCAGTACACAGCAGACTGTTGATCTCCTGGCGGGGAAGGAGAAGGAATGGGCTGCGGCAGCCAAGCGGGAAAGGGAAGAGTTGACTGAGCAGTTGGAGATGAAGATTGAGGAGCTGGAGGAGGTTTCTAAATCTCTGGAGAAAGAGAAGGGCAAGATGGAGAAGATGAAAGCGAATGGTGGTCGGGAGAGGATCCGACCAGGCTGAAACGTTCTTACTCCTGGTGAGCATGGGAGAGGCGCGAAGGCGCCTGGTGATATACTTCTCGAAGAGAAGGTGGTGTAAAGGTTACACCTTT